TCATATTAAATTTCTTTAAATTTTAATATTAGAAAAAAAAAGTTAATAAAAGTATAAAACGATTGTTACTGAACTTTATATTTGATTGATTTTATATTTAATTAAATTATTATTAAAGAAAAAATTTATACTTTTAAAAATTTTAATTAAAAAAAGGATTTACTGATCTTACAACTGATTTTTTAAAGAAATGTTAATCAATTTTGTATTTAAAATTAAATTTTAAGTTTTAAAAAAATTTAAATACATTAAGTAAAAGTAAATAATTTTGTTTCAAATTACAATAACTGCTTTATAAAAAGGTTAATTTAAAATTTTGATCTTTAAAAATATATTTAAAGGAAATAAAAAGTGGTAGTTATTTTTGTTCTACCAAAGTGTAACAAGTTATTTACTCTATATGACTAATCTACTTACTCTGCGTTCTCCTAAATTAGAACTATCCGAGACCAATTAAAATTGCAATTAATGAGTCAGCTAATTGGTTATTACACTTTACACGGATTGATAACAATCGTTAAAAGTTGCCAACACGTTCATATTTTATAGAATAATTGTTATAAATTATAGATACAAATTATATAAACTTTTATAAGTTTAAAAGTTTTATAAAAAATTAATAACTTTTATAAAGGATTGTGACAAATTTCAAGAACTGATTATTATTTATAACTAAACAATACTTTAATATAATTTAAATAATTTTTAAAAAGTTTAAAAATTTTATAAAATAAATAAAATAATAAAAGAATCTTTACTGAATTTAAGTTTTGATTTTTTTTAATTTTAATTTTAATTTGATTATTCTTACAAAATTATACTAAATTTTTAAAAGAATAGCTATTAACTTTAATTTTTTAAATATATTATATTTACGTATAAGTTTAATATTAAAAAAAATTTAAAATTATGGAGTCAATGCCACTAATTCAATTATAAAATTTTATTTATATTTGAATCTAAATTATGTTAACTATTGAAAGTATTCTAATAACAATAAAAATATAAATATAAATAATGATTATTAAATTTATCAGCAAAATTTATTTTTTTCAATATAATTTATATTAATTTTTTAGTATTTTATAGATATAATAAAAAATAAGAATCTGAACTAAATTTTCTTAAAAAAGGTATAGGAAATATATTTTTAAAAATAACAGAACTAATTACTCAATATAAATATTTTATTTTCAGTTCTACCTTGTTATAATTTTTATAAAATTGACTGATGATTTTATATAGCGCGCATATATAATTATAATTTTTTTATTAAAAAATATTTTTTTAATGTTATATAATTATAATACTAGTGAGAAAATTAAATATTACTCTTTAAAATTTCATAATTCATTTAAGAATTTAAAATTTTTTTGTAAATCATCTGCGTGTTTATAGAATAATTTTTTTAATTTTTAAGTTAGAAAAATAAATGATTTGCTAAATTTTATGTAAATTTATATTATTTTTTTCAAATTTTTAAAGGAGTTTTTCGTGATTGAAAATAATTAATAATAATTAATAATTGCTTTTGCAGTTTAAAAATTTTGATTTAAATTTTTTTAATTAATATGAACTTTTAAAAATTTAGTAATAATTAGTAATAATTACTTTTTTCTTTTAACGGTTTTATTTTTATAAATGAATTTTAAAAAACTGAAAATTTCCAGAAACTTTTTATCAAGACATTCAAAAAATACTTTTTTTTAATATTTTTATATTATATAAAAAGATGTAAATATAATGAAATATATTTTTATTATAATTAAAAAATTATAATTTTTTAGTAATATATATATAAACACTTTTTGTTTTCAAAGAAAAAAGTTTAAGATTTTCATTATTATTACAACAAAATTTCACTAAATACTGGACAGCACGAGGTGTTTTGACTAAACGTAGATTACTTATTATAAGTATTTTGATCATTATGATGATGAAAACCGATTCATATTTTTTTATTAATTATAATTATAATTATATATTATTATTATTAGTCTTGCATAGTTATAAATAAATTACTTTTCTCTTTTTTTATTATTAATGCTATAAAAACTGCTTTAAAATTTATTATCATTACATTATAAAAAAAATTCTCTTAAAATTTTGTATTAATTATTATCTTTAATTTAATTAAAAAAGAACACATCAAAATCTGTTAATTATCATTACAACTTATTATTATAATATCGAATTGTAATAATGATTATTATTAAAATAAAATCGTTAATTTTTATAAGGTATAAAAAATATATTTTTTAATATGTATATCTGCAAATATTTATACTCATGAAAAAAATTTATATAACTCTTTTTTTACTAAAATGATACTTTATTTTTTTAAATAATTATATTTATAAAAGTATATGTCTTAGTTATATTTAAATTATACTTCAAAAATTTTTTCCATATATTATATTTGTAGATGGGGTTTTCATTATTATTTATTTCTATAAAATTATATCTTTTTGTATATTTCTTAAAGAGATTCTACATTTATTATCATTTCTTTTATCATTATTATACTTTTTATACCTTTTTAAAATGATATATCATTTTTTATAATAAAAATAAGAAACTGGAAGAATTACTGTCGCTAAACCAAAGCCGAAGTCTTTAGCAAATATTATAGTAAAACTTAAAGAAAAGTCTGCTCTGCTAAATCATATACGGTAAAACTAATTATTATTTCCTTTTATTTTTTAGTAAATTTTATGATAAGAAAAAGAGTTTAAATAATAATTTTTTTATTTTTTTCATAATATTTTGTGGCAAAGTTTGAAGTTCTTATAATTTTTTATTAATAACATTAATATATAAATTTAGAAGATTATTTTATTTATTGTCAGGTAAAAGTTTAATAACCAAGTTTTATTTTATATTCGCTTGTGAATAATATAATAATTTATAACAAAAATAAAAAAATTATATATTTTTCGATTATTCTATAAAATTTTGATGATTATTTAAATTTTTATATAAACAAAAAAATTACAATAAAAATGTTTGTATTAAAAGTAATTATTCTAAAAATATATTTCACTTTTTTTTATTATGATTTGGTTAAGATATTATATTCGTTGCTTTAAAAAATATAACAATTTTTTTTTTACATTAAAAGAATTTAAAATAAATATATATTTTTTTATTAAATTCAAATAGTTTAAAAATATTTTTTATAATTACTTTAAAATACTTGTTAAACAGATAATAATTAAAAGTAAAAAAAGTTTTTTATATAAAAATAAATTAAATTTTTTATAGATAATATCACTTTTTTTTTAAATATATATAAAAACTTTTTAAATAGTGATGAATACATAAATGTATACAAGAATTATTAGTTTCTTTAATTTTTTTATTTAAAAAAAATAAATTTCCTTGTTACTTTTTATTCAAAAATTTATTATGAAAAGGCAGTAAATATATTTTTAATTTATCATTTATTTATTTATTTTTGTTATTATTTATTTTTCACTATTTATTGGTACTTCATCAAAAACTAAACTCAAAAAAAAATTTTCATTTTTATTATTATTTTTGTACTTTTAATATATTTTTTATTTTTATATTTTTCATGACGTTAAAAACTACAAGTTAACTTTTTTTTCCTAATATTTTTATTCTTTTACTTAATTTTTATAATAAAAAATTCTTTTAAACTTTGAATTATTACTATAAAAAAATGAAATCATATTTTTAATAGTAAATAAAATTTATTAAAGAAAAATATAAATAAAAACTTTATTGTGTGGGAAGTACACAGAACTTTCAGTTTTATTATTATTATGATTATTATTATTAACTTTAGTTTTCTTATTATTTTTAGAAGCTCTAAAAAAGAGTACGACGTTACGAATATTTTAAAGAAAAAAGGAGTTTCTTCAGATCTTTTAAAGACTATTCCCGTTCTGAGTAAAGGCAAGAATGTGCCCGTGAAGTATAGTTCAGCGGTTATTTATCCTTATAATTAATATTATTGTTATTATTATTAATAATAACAATAATATTAAATATTTAAACTTAATAAATTATTATCATTATTTTTTTAATATTTTTTAAATACTCCTCTTATTTATCAATATTTATTTAATTATTATTATTACTATTCGTATTTTTTCAATTAGTTTTTATAATTTTAAGTAGTTATATATGTATTATTATTATATTTTATTTATTATCACCATTATGCTCGTAAGTAAATAGTAAAATTTTATAATATAAAAAATTTTTAAATTGTTAGAAGTTATAATTTTTATAATTTAATAATTTAAAATATTCGTAAAGTAGGTTGTTATTATATAAAAATGTTAAACAAAAGAGGTTCAATTTTCTCTTGAATTTTACTATTAATCATTATTATTATTATTACTAATACTATTATTATAATCATTATTTTTAAAGCATCAATTAAAAATTAACGACGAAAGGCATCCATTATCGCGCTCTGTCTTACGAGAGGAACTGCAGTCAATAGTTTATTTTCAGCGGTGCTAATATAAATATATAAATATTGATATAATAATAATTATTATTATAAGCAATAACTCAAGGAAAAAAAGTTTTACTTATTATGTTTTTTTATATGTATATATATTTATAAACATTGCGTTTAAAAAAAAAGTTTATGCTTAATATTACATTAATAAATATATATATATAAATTATTTTATTTATAAACTTTTAAACTTTTATATATATTTCCACACCTGTAATTATTGTTAAAATTTGTATATAAAATAATATTAATGATATACTAAAAGAGCTAGAAGAACCAGTAAAAATAAAGAACAGGACGATGGAGCGCTTTCTGTAATAACTTTTTTTCACCAATCCTCAAGTATTTTTACTATTTTAGAGAATTTTAGGACCCACTCGAGCCTGATAACTTTGAAGAGCCTAACGAAAATAATACGAATGAAGAAAATGATTTTCAAATTTATAGTGATGTTGAAAGTAATAATGAAGAGGAAGAAGTATTTTCCATAAATAAAGATAATTCTGAGCAAAATATAATAAAAAATTGCTTAAATGAAGATAATATTACGAAATATGGCTTTTCTGAAGGTATATTTCTATAATTATTATTAAAAAAAAGTAATTAGTGAAACTATTAAATATGATTGGTCAAAAAATTAAATTGACCAGTCAATGTTGTTCGCAGAAAATGTGCTGTAATCATTTCTTTCATTGATTATTATTTGTAACAATTTTTTAAAAGAAACCTTTTTATTAGTTTTTTTCTATTAAAAAAATTGGCAAACTTTATTTTCTAATTATTAAAAAAAGTTGGCCATGAATAAAAGTCAAAGTTTTTAAACTCACGTGGTTTAAGGAAGGGACTCGTGGCGATCCTTATTTCATATAGATATAAGTAATTAATGAAAAAACGAGTTTGTTAAGTGTATTAAAAATGAAAATTACAAGTGTTTTGCAAGTTCTTAAGGTTAGATTTCAAGTTTCCACGTGGTAGAGGCAAGGGTCAGTATGAGGGTTGCTCTAGGCGAGGTCAAGAAGCGGCGGTAAGGGGGTGGCTGACTTTTTTTAATTATTAAATAGACTATGCAAACTTTTATTTTCTCAGTATTTACTGTCCATTATTATTATTTTAATATTTATTTTTTAAGAAACTGTTATGGATACTGCAACGGCTCTTTCGGTTCATATCGAAACCGTACTTTTTTTTATTTTGTTATCGATATTATTTTTATATATAATAACTTTTATATAAACTATAAAATAAATATTATAAATTTGTGATAACTTTTATATATAAATAGTATATAGACTTTAAAAGGTTTTTTAATTTGTAATTTTTATATATTCAGTAACTTTTTCAGTATTTATATATAAATAATACATATTTAATAACATTCTTGATATATTTTACAGAACTACACGTATTTAGTAACATTTTTTATATATTCTTATATTGAGAATATATATATTTAATAACTTTTAAAATATATTTTTAAACTTTTTTTTAATAATAAAAGGAAGAGGAAGTTTGTGGAAACTCCACTTTTGTTGACCGGAACGGGTACCTTTTAATTTATTATAGATATTACAATAAATATATACAAAGATTGTTAAAAACTAGGAGAAACGATTATATTTATAATATTTTTAATGAAACTTTTATTAAAGATATATAAGAACTGCTAATGAAGAAAAAGTAAGTTTATCCGGCTTATCGCTTTCGCCATTTTCTCGGTTATGCATTATTATTACGAATCTTTTGAAACATTTATTATTTATTTTTATAACTGTATATAGAATAAATGATTATGACGAACAAAATATTGACAATCGTTGTTCGTTGAGCGAAAGTATTACTCAACTTTGTTCAAATAATAATTTTATTACGCAGGCATTATTGATTATTATTATTACTATTCCTATCATTTCTTTTATTATATTTAAAAAAAAAAAGGAAAAAGACATGAACTCTGAAAACTTTTTTTTACCCTCACAAAGTCTTGAGCGCGTGGAATTGACTGAAGAAAACGAGGAAAAGGAAGTTTATTCGAAGGAAATTGGAGTTCCCGTAAAGAATTCGAGTTGTTATTATTTTCTTTATTTATTTATTATTCGTAATAGTTATTGTATTTATTTATAAATAATTTATTATTATTTAGGCGCGCCTTTGTTGGGACCTCCCCCTATGAAAACTACGAGTTCAGAAAAACTAGAAAATGAAGGTAAAATTTTAGACGATGAAGCCGAAGTTTCCGGGTCGGACGTATCGGAAGACGAACAAGTTGAGGGCTCTGAAGCAGGTATCTGGTTAAAAGGCATTAAGCACCTTCCTTATTGGCTAATAATTTAAAAAATTATGTAAAAAATATGAGATTATTTTTTTATTACAAAATCTTTTCTCATAATTTATAATGATAAATGATAACTGAATGCATTACACAACGATGTAAACAACGAATTGGATATTAATTCATTACTTTTAGTAAAGTTTATTATTTTGAGCTCAATAATTGTATTGATAAATTTTATACTAAAGTATTTTGTTGGAGCTAAATATTTATTAGGCCACTAAAAAATTTATATGAAAACTAAAAATAAATCTTTTTTTATTTTAAAGATGACGGTTTTCTATTGGCGGATGAAGATTCTGAAGAAGAGCAGGACGAGAAGAATTTAATTAAGAAAATCAGGTTTTTCACTAAATTTATTGATCCTCTTAATTTTGTTGGGGAAACCCGTGGTGTCATTTATTTTTATATTCGGTATATAAGTGAATGTAAAAGTTTTTAGTAATGATTAGTAAAAAGTTTTTTCATTTTTTTTTATTTTTATTTACTTTCATAAGTTTGTTGCTTATTATTATAAATAAACAAAAACAATTAAAATTTAAAAAACAGTTTTTAAAAAATAATAAAATAAAATAATAAACGTGTGAATATTTTTTTTCATTAGAGAAATGGAAAAAGAACGGGATACGAGAGAAGTGGAAGCGATAAAGGCAGAAGTAATTTTCTTTATAATTATTCATCAATTAGTTTGTGTACTCTTATTATTACTTAATATTATCCTCGATTTATTATTATTTTTTATTATTATTTATTATTACTCTATTAATTTATTTAGTATTTTATTTGTTTATTATTATTATTTTATTATTTATTAACTATTTATTATATATCTGTTTTGTATACTTCAAAAATTAATATTTATTTTTATTTATTTATATAATTTTAAACTTCATTTAGTCCTTATTACTATTTTCATTATTATTATTCATTATTTATTTAATATTTTTATCTATAATTTTTCCTTTCCATTATTTTAATATATTTTTTCACTTCATTTTTTATTTATTTTATTAAATATTTATTATTTATATTATAAATTTTTTACTTTTTATTACTTATTTACATAATTTTGTACTTCATTTATATTTATTTATTATTTATTATATATATTTAATTGTTATATTTTTATTTACTTTTTATTTGTTTATCTGTTATACTTCACGTATTTATTTTTTTATCATTTAATATTATAATTTTATTTACCTTTTATTATTTATATATTTTAAGCTTCATTTCTTATATACTGTTAATATTTTCTTATTAATCGATTATTTATTATATTTGTTTTATTTTTCTTTTTTGTGTGCTCCATTTATTTTATTTTAATTATTTTTATTATAAAAAAAATATTCAAGGTGATTTCCGGATACAAAAGGCACATGTATCAATTTCAAGACGAGCAAGAGGCCTTATTGGCTGCCGCAAGAAGACGAGCTAAAAAAGACCGGGAAAAGTACAAGGATGCAGGAAATTTTTTATTTTTATTATATTGGTTGATATAAAATAATATGGTAGGTTTTCAAAAATTATACCGAAGTGAAAAATGGCTATTGTTTTTGTGAACCTTTTTTATATAACAATAGGAAACGGCCACGGTGTTGTTGGTTTTGGATTTTTTGATGAAGTTTTAAATTTTAAAGAAGAAAATATCCAAGAGAGATTTCTAATGGTGGACAAACACAAGTTTTTTAGTGAATCGGTAGGAATTATAATTTTTATGTGTATTATTATACTTATTATTATTATACGCACAGAAAAAAGACCACTCGCAGGGCTTGAACGAGCTTGAAGAAGAAAGTTCGGAAGTAGTAAAACTTGCTTGCAGCCGCTCTCAATGTATAATGATATTATAACGCAATAATAATGAAATAAAATAATTATAAACTTTGCTATAGTGATTAATAATTACACAGTAGATATTAAAAAGTGTATTAGTTATAACACGTGTAAATATTTTATTTAAAATTTTTATAGCATTAATAATAGTTGTAATAACAACTATCCATAAAAATAATTAAAGGTAACCAAAGTCTTCTGATTGGCTCTAAAGAAGGGCCACGCTTTCTTAAGCAGCAGAACTTCCAACCTAAACATTCTCTAATAAAGAGGGCCAATCATTTATCTTCTTTTGTGAGTTTTCTATCCATTATTATTTCTGGATTGCTTTTACATTTATTAATTTTTTTTTATGAAAAAAAAAAGAGCGCAGCATTAACAGTTCAAAAGCAGAACACTAAATCAATGATGATTACTTTTTCCTCGAATTCCAAAAGCTCAAGCTCAAAAGTGAATGCTGACTTTTTTTAATTGGCTTTTATTATTTTTTTGTGGTTTAAAATTTTATAATATTTTAAAAAAAAATTAGGAAAAGCCACTCTTAAAGAATTCTGATTCCTCTAGAAACCACTCTCTTCCAAAGTATTACTACTTTTATTGGCTAATATTTTATCGTTATTGTTACTATTTTTTTTAATAATTATGCCCGGCCACCAATCACCTTCACTTATAAACTTTATTATCCACTAAAAGCAGCTGTTATAAGTAATACAATAACGTAGCCAGCCAATTTACCCCAACATAACCTAACCAACGAAACTAGGAAGTTATTTTTTTGGCCGTTTTATTGGTTTTAAACTTTTTTCTTAAAAAAAATAACTTTTTTTATATATAAAGTCTTATTTTTCATATATAACTGTTTCACTCTTACTATTTACTAAATAAAAATTTTACTAGTAATTCTTATTAAGTAAAAAAAATATATATTTTTAAATTCGTTATTGCAGATAAAATATTGTTATTATAAATACTTTCTACTTATTTACTCTATATTTTAAATATTTTTAAAAAGAACTCTCGACCACTCACCGCATTTTTTAATTTTATACACTTAAACTTATTTAATAAAATAAATATCTATGTAAATTTTAAAATAATTTTATTATTAAAAGAATTTTTAATATTACATTATTACTGACTAAACGAGCCTCATGAAATTATAATTGGTCACCATTGCAATTCACCATATATTTTGTTATTAATATAATCCAGTAATATTTCGTTCTTTAAAACAGGAGATTTATTATTTTTTTTAGTAAATAGTTGAAAATTTTACATGTTATTTATTAATTCAAGTTCTATAGATTATATAAATTATTATTGGTCAATGCTGCATTTTAGCATTTTCATGGGTTTATTTTAAAGTATACTAAAAATATCAACAATTATTATTAGTCAACGCGGTACTCATTACAAGTAATCATTCCATTACAACTGCTTAATAAATAATAATATATATACTTTTTTATTAAGTTTTTAATTACTATTTTATAGAAACGTGCTTATTCTCTCTAATAGAGTTTATTGATATGTTATTGGTTATTTATTATTTTTATACTTTATATTAGCTACTATTGGTCAGCACTGTTTCATAAAGGAAATAATAGCATGTATTATTACGTTATACTGGCTAGTTTTCCAATTCGTTATATTTAAAACTGTTCAGCATATTATTAATCACTATTTTATAATTACTATTGGCTGTTATATAATTATTATTGCTCATTGTTGCACATTACTTGTTATAAATACACATAATAGGCCTAATTTTTTTATTATAGTGATAGCCTCGTTTGTATAACTATTAGTTATTACTCCGTTAATTTAGTGGTTACTGGTAGGTATTGTAACTGCAAGTTGCATTATTTTATGTGGTAAATGATTGTATGACCTTTTCTTATAATTATATGAAAAGTATTGTAAATACTGACCATCAAGATACATTACTTTTTGTGCTATTATTATTATACATCCATAACTTCTTTTTTTATATACATAATAATATCATTGGTTACACCAATGATGTTGCTAATTGCCAAAATTTTCTTGAATCAATATTAAAATTTATTACATCTCCTTATAAAAAACATAACCAATCACAACTCTATTAATTTATTACTATATCTGATCACTGATTGCTTTCGCTTCTTATCAGATACTAATGGCCCTTTTTTAATAACTTTATAAAAGTATTATTAACATTATTGGCTCTTTAAATATATTTTAATTTTTTAATGAAAAAAAATATTTACAATATTTTATGGTAAATTTTCTTGTTACAAAAATTATTAAGTAAAATAAATTAACATCTAAGAAAACATTATTATAAAAACTGTTTACTTATTTAAAATTTTATCATTATTATTTAAGTTTTATATAAAATTAAAATATTTGATGCTAATTTTATAAGGTATTAATTTATTAAAAAAAACTTTTAGTATAACTGAATGCCTTTTGTTCAATATTTTTATTATCTATTATGAAAAATGTCAATTCGTAATTTATATGACGTTTCCTAGTAAATTATTATTAAAAAACTTTCAAAAAAAATTAGTATTTGTAACTGTTTATTAATGTTAAAAATAATATAAATTTTAAAATTTTTGAAAGATTTACAGGAAGTCTGTTTTCAGTGCTTTCGAAGAATTCTCTAACTTTTGCTAAGAAATAAAAACATATATAATTTTTTTTTATGAATTCAACTGAGGCAATCCGAACTCATCCAGTTCAGAAGAAATTTTCTTTGGAAATAAAAAAAAAAGTTAATGTTATAAACCAGATAAACTTATTTTTTAAAAAGAAATGAAATTCTTACTAAATTAAAAAAGTTATGAATTCATTAATTTTATAATAAAGATTTGTTGAATAATTATAGAAATTTAATGTTTTTAGATTAACTAGTTTAAAGAGGTGAAATGATAAATTTCAAAATAAAACAAAAATAAGAATAATAAATTATATTTAATAAGTAAAAAAATTATTATAGTTATATTTTATATAAACTAATAAAGGTCTTTTTTGCGGCGTAAAAGTTTATTAAGCTGCACAAAAGTAATTTGAATTCATTATTTATTACTGTAAAGATATGACTTTTGCCTAAAATCTATAATAAATAAAAAATTTAAGTATATATAAAAAGTCCGTTTAATATCAAAAAAGTATTATAAATAATAAATTAAAGCTTTCTTATAAATTAATTAAGCCAAAAAAATAAAAAAATAGATGAACAAAAAATAAAAATAATTATAGGTTACTAAAAAGTAATTTTATATAATAAATTTAAAAAAAAGAAAAATTAAAAATAATAAAATTTTATTGTAAAAAGTAGTTTTGTATAATTTTAGTTATAGAAAACTAAAAATAGTTAATAAAAACAAAATAAAATAAAATAAAATTAATTAAAAAAATGTAAATTTACATATTAAAAATTGAAATTAGAAAAAAGTATTATAAATTAAAAAAAGAAAACAAAAGAAAAAATATATAAAAAATATTAAAAAAAGAACCAATCTGCTTATCAATTTTAAAAGATAAAAAAAAGCTCTATTTATAAATTATTTTATAAAAAATTATAACTAAAATTATAATATTCTTATATTATGTTTTTATAATTTTTAAATAAAAACTTATTATATATAAACTTTTCTTTTTTTTACTAAAAATTCAGTATAATTTTTTAAGAGAATACAATAAGAAAATTTTTTAAAAAATTTATGATAAAAAATAAGAATTAATGAATATTAATCTCTTTGTATATTTTTTTAAATATAAAATAATATAAACTGTAATTTTTATCTTACAAATTAGAAAATAGCTGTTTGCATACTAAAAAAAAAACTGAATTTTCAAAATTTAAAGTTTTAATGCAAAAATAGCTAGAATATGATGAAAGTATTATTTAATAAAAATATTTAAAATCTGATCCATTTCTTATTAAACTATAGTGAATTATAACTTAAATTCCAAAATTCAAAATAATAAAAAATAAATTTTTTTATTTAATGAATCCCATTACTAAAATCTTCCAAATAAAATAAAATTATATAAAAATAATGAAAAAATTATTAATTTTTTATAAATCTTTAATAATTTAAATAATTTAAAATTAAAAAACTAAATTGTAAAGAACTTTTTATTTTTTTTTAAGAATGATAAAAAAAATTTAAACTTTTTAATAAAAGTTGTTATTTAATTATTAGTACTATATAATAAAATAATAAAAAGTGTGGTTATAAAGAATTACAATATAAAAGGAAAAATATTACTTTTTATAATACCAAAGTTATATAATAATTATTTAAGTTAAAAGTATTTATTAAAATTTTCGAATTTTAAAGAAAAAAAATTAATTTTTTTGAGAAAACGTAAAAATACTATAAATATAAAAATTAGAAGATACTTTTTTACTATTATTTCTACAACTTTTTATATATTTTCTTTATGATAATTACCATTATTTTTTTAAATTATAAAAGAAAAAAATCTTTCTTTTTTTTTTATAAATATTAAAATTCTATAATCAAATTTTCGTACTAAAACCGTAAAGTTAGTAAAAAAAAAACTTAGTAAATACTTTCATATATTTTATTTTATTAACTTTATACTTTTTTTAAGATTTATTTATTACTGAATAAACATATAAAAAATAAAATAAAAGTGAATTATTATAATTATCGTATTAACACTAATAAACTAACATTGTAATTGCTAAAAAAAATTGTATTATAATAATGTATAATTAATATTAACAATATTAAATATAGAAAAGTTATTAAAATCTGCATAATCACAAGTTTATTTTTTAAAAATAGATATTTATTATTAATAATAAAAGTTCTATAAATTTTTCTAATAATAAAAGATAATAAATATTTTACATGAATATTAATATGTGCATACTAATCATAAGTTTATATTTAAAAAATATCTTTTTAAATAATTAATTATTATATGATATAAAGTTATAAAAAAATGTTCTTAATAATAATTTAATATAAATGAAAATATGAAAAAGTATAATAGGAATTTTCTTTTTAAGAACTTTCGATTCAGATAACTTTGCAAGATTTAAATAACTCACGAATCGAATTATTTTCAGAAACTTATATTAAAGTTGAAAGTATAACGATAACCAAAAATATAGTAAAAATTTAAAAATATATATTAAAAGTTAATATGCCAAAGTGTTTAAAAAAGATTACTGAGAAAAATAATTTAATGAAACATTAACGAAATAGAACTCTTTTTGGGGAATTATAAATATAACTAAAGATAATACTAGAATGCTATTTTTAAATCTTAAAGTTTTTTGGTAAAAATTTAGACTAATAATATTATAAAAAGAATCTATAAAATTATTATTAATTAAAAAATAAGATGAACTTAAACAAATTAAGATGCTTAAAAAAAATAAAATTTATAAACAAAAACACATCAAAAAAAAATTTAAATTCATGTTTTGCATAAACATATATGGGCCAAAAAATTTCTAAACAGTATTGTAATTAATGATTATTTCAAAGCAAGTGGCGTTTTAATACACAAAGCACATATTATCTTATAATTTTTTTTTTAATATTCACGAAGTGAAGATTTTTTAATAAAAATCTAAAATCTGTATGAAAATTAAAAATTGTTAGCTTCCTTACTTTTTAAAATCCACGCACCTGTAAAAATTACTATAATAATTATTGAATTCCGAATAAAATTTAACCGTTAATCTCAAATTATCCCAGTTGAGACTTTTATATATTATTTTACTTGGATAAAAAAAAAAAGCTTTTTGCCGTTAATAACAATACAATTATGCTCAAGCAAATATTTTTACAACAAAAATTTAAAATAATATTTTTTTAAAATGGTATACACTATCAATAATTAATTTTCCGATTATATGCAGTCGGTACACCAGCTATTATTAAAATTATAGTTTTATTTTAAAATAAAATAAAATATGTAAAATTTTAATATAAAAAAGGTTAAAAAAAAATAATTTTTTTAACAAAATAGTAATTTTCATAATTTATAATACCAAATCGCTGGATGGTAGTTTAGACGTTGGGGCGTTAATTGCATCATCTAAATAGTTTCCTTCAGTTTCCCCCGTTTCGAATACATCGTCAGCCAAAGCGTTAAACTTCAAAAATAAAATTAATTTAAATAAAATGTTAAGCAATAAAAGTGTGAAAGAAAAACTTCTTCCTCTAATTCATTTTCATCCACCACATCCCCAATATCGTAAGATCTGTAGAAAAATTAAATAATAATAATTAATGAATATAAAAATAAATAAGTTTTACCTCGAAAGTGTTTCGTTTATTTCTTCAGCATATTCCATCATGTCTTGTAATTCATCTTGAACATCCTTAAAAAAAATTGTAGCAAGTAAAATCTTATTTGTCCAGCAAAAGAATGTATACTTCCAACTCGGTTATGTTAAAACTTTTATACTGAGTTTTCATACTTTTTACTCCAGTTTTCATGGCAAAAACCTAAAGAAAAAAGCTTTTGATTGAAACAGAAATTCGAAAAAATTAAAATAAGGGAAACTGTAGTCTTTGCATCCTTCATACTTTGTTCAGCAAAGTTGGCTTGCTCAAAGTTAAAGCTTTGCTGCAACAGCTGGTCTCGTTGTTTTTCATACCTATAGATAAACCTTCCATGGTAGAAATATATATTTTTATAAAGCTAAAAAAATTTACATTCTTAATTGTTTTAAAATTCGAACTGCGCGCTGCTTGACCATATTCTTTTTTTAAAAAAAATTATATCTAACTTTTTAGCTAAAACTACAAAGATTTTTAAACACACTTTTGTTGCGGGGCTCTTTGTTTGGGCAATTTGTTGCTTATATTTTCTTAACTCACCTTCTAGTTGTGAAATTTTTTTATCAAAAGTTTCTATGCGCAAGTCGTTCTATTATATAGAAGACTTAAATTCTTTTTATATATCTAGAGCCCCTAAACTATGTACTTTGGTAATAGTATCGTTTAAGGTAACAGGAGGCTCCTTAGCTTTAGTGCGGCCGAATAACTTATTCATATTCTTTATGTTATTTATTGTAAGTAAAAAACATAATAAAATTTACTATAACTTAAGTTGATATAGCATACTTAAGTTTATGACCTCTGGATAAAGGCCAGATGTATAAAGCTATGGGTGGAGGGTTTTTTTTTCTAGTTTCTTTAACCCTTTCCCTGATCTTCCAGATTAAGGAATCATCATAAACAATGGGAATTTAGCAAATAATTTTCTCATTTTTTAGATGCTTTCTACCCTGTGTTAGGGAAAGAGGGACTTTTACACTATAAAGCTAGCACACTAAATAATGTATACTCCTCGCGTTATCAAGGACGGATAGTGAGCAAAGGAACCAAGACTAAAGTCCTCCCCCACAACACTTACGAAGGGTCAAGAGGATTTTTCAGATCTATGAAAATAAAATTTTGCAAAAACTTCTAAATTTTAAAAGTTATAATTATCTTTTTTAGTGCAACAGTGAATAAATCTTACTAAATTGCTTACAAAAATTTCTGTTTAATTTTATTAGACCTTATTAAAGTCGTTTTATGTAAGTCCTACAAAATAAGTGTTCCTTTACTTATATTACTAGAATTTGTTCAAATTGAATAATGCTTCTATTTTAAAGGTATTTGCATTTATTAACGTAAATAAAGTTCAAAGTTGTATGCAGAAAAACCGCACTATACAATATATAATATTGAGTGACGCATACTCATGATATCCAGTTATTCGAAATAGATAACTGCAAAAAGTTAAATTGCGACTCTTTATGGTGGGAGCTTCAATGTACGCTTAAAACCTCAATTTAAACTGATTTTAGAATTTAACATAAAGATTATATTTACAAAAATATTTTAAAGGGAGTGCTCTGAACTTCTAGAACTTTACTCATATTTTTAAAAGCAAAGAGCGTAGATGTTTTGAGTGACGAATATATAGAAGACATTATTTTAAAAGTTATTGTACCCTCCTTATTTTCATCCTTTTCTTTTTCAAATTGGCAAATAATTGAATTAATTAGGCGTACGCAGTCTTGTTCTGCTTTTTTATATTTTACTTAAAAGACAAGTAAAAACTTTTTTTACTCCTTCAGTCCAAAGGACAATCCTGTTTTACTTAGTACCTGATCTTTTTAAAAAGATCCGTTAATTATCCACTGCTCTAAAACTTGGTACAGACGCTGTTTAACTAATATAGCTTATTATTATGCCTTTTTTAAAGAAAAAAATTACCCTCAAAAACTAAACAAAGTAATCTATATCCCTTTACTATATTATACCAGTCTTAAATTAACTTTGCTGCAGATTTTTAATCCCAAAATAACGCTTTATAAATAATTGAATAAGGAATACTTTCACTCATGCTTAATAAAAATTATAATAAACTGTTGCTATAGTTCTTTAAAACAGTTGTCATGCCCCTACTAATATATTAGAAGCGATAGTTTGAGGTTTTTATAAGTTATTATTTATTGTAACAAAAATAATTTGCTTTTTTTAAACTTTTGGATAGACGAATGCTATTATACTTCATAGAAAGAAATCTAAATAGCTTACATAAATTATGGAAGTATCCTCTACCATGTTACCTACAGTAAATATAGAGGGCAACTCAACTATCCTTATTTTTTTAAAATTAACTTTCTGGTTTTATTGAAAAATATTAATAATTAATAAAATAAGTTTTTCTAGCAGTAGATAAAGCATTCCTTCCTTCCACAACTTCTATCCTTAGTAATGCAGTTTACACTATTTTGTGTAATATTATAATCCAACAGCTGATGAACTTAGATTGCAAAAAGAAGTACTTTCAAACTATTATAATAAAGTTCGTAAGACTTAGTCGTTTACAATTGAGGGCTGCTTGTAAAATTTACTTAATTGAAAAAATAATGAAATCGAGTTTTAAATTTAAAGTTTGTTTTCTTATTCACTTTATACATATTTATTAGTCCTTAAAAGCCATGGACTCAGAAACGTAAAACTGGGATAAATTAAGTAAATCATTTTGTAAGTGCGCTCCGCAGGTATGACAACCGGTTTAAAAAAATATTATACAGAAAGGTCATAGTCTTAATCCACTAACATTTAAATTCCTACTGGTGTTGGGTAAAGCTATTCACAAAAAGTTAGTCCACTCCGGTTTGGCGGTAGTTCTTGTCCTTGTAAAGCCTCATTTGGGGCAGACAGTTGGAAAGGAAATTATCATTTTTTAAAAATTTAGTTGAATAATAGTTAAGTTTATATGCAAATATTCAAAACTAATCAATTTTACTGTATTCTTTCATCCTGTAAGTCTTTTACAATAGCTGAAAATTATATTCATTTTTATTAACTTAAAATTTTCGTGTCTGAGAAATTTATTAAAGTCGTTTGTACAAATTCGAAATCTTAAAAAAAATTTTTTTATATGCTATCATTTTTAAAAGTTTTCATATATTTTTTCTATTTTAGAGTTTCCTCCCTGTAAAAAGCATGCATATAAAACAGGTACAGGCTCATATATTAGATGTTAACTTTTCGTGATAAACTTTTATTTACTTTTAAAATAATTATAAGGTCGCTATTGTAGGATTTACCAGCTACGAGTATGCTACATATACCAGTGATAATAAAGGAAGTCCATACGTTGAAGAATTTGATCCAAAATTTAACGTTATAGGTATTCTTGATTCAAGAATTTTCGTTTAACTGAATTTTATCTGTTAGTTCTTATGATACCGTGAGGTTAATTATTATTTGAATAATTTTAAACTCTTTAAAAACTTAATAACGCTGATGTTTTAATTATATATATAGCAATTCTGTAATATTATTAATCAATATTTTCTTTAAAATTCTTCACAAGTAGAACAGTTTGAAGTTCAAAAAATTCAAATAATTTTAAGTATTAATTACTAAATGACGCTGATATTTTAATTACATATAAGGAATCTTTTTAATGAAAAAAAATTATCAATTTTTGTTTTTACTGACTGAATTTTTAGTTGTATTTTTGTTAATTTTTAGATTGTTTTATTAATTCGTATAATTTTCAAAGTTAATTGTTTTATAAATAACTTTGAAGACTTTACAAATTCTAATAGAAACACTTTCTATTGCAAAACAATTTTAAATTATAAATTATTGTAGAATTTATTACATTAGTCAATAATATTTCCAGTATTAGTTATCATATATAAAACCAATAAACTTGTAGACTTTGTGAGAACTTCATTTCTTTTACGAATTTTTTAAACTTAATTATTCTATTATATTTGTTTTTTAATTTTGTAATAATCCTAGTTGGGAAAAATGGTTCTGGAAAAAGTAATTTTTTGAAAGGTTGTTTCTTATAATAAATCCTTTTTTTATTTTTATTCTTTTTGAGTAGATTAAGTTTAGCTATTAATTTAAAAAGGAATTTTAACTTAATTTCCTTTCAGCCAACCTCGTTTAATACTTTTATATTCTTTTGAATAATAATAATATAAATATAAACAATTATAAAAAGACATTATTTTTAAAAATTGTTTCAAATTTTTTTGAAAAATACATAATATAATTAGTAAAAGTATTAAATAAATTCTTAACTTTGTTTCAATGTTGATTAAAGTAAATAAGAATAAATTTTCTCCTAAAAAATGTAAAAAGTTATTTGTAAAATATATAAACTACACTGCCTTTTTTTATTAAATAATTTTATTAAAAAATTTAGAACTTTTAAGTTTTATACCATTTATTACTCTAAATTAAATAACATAACATATATATTTTTAATTTCTACTTTCTAAATCTTTCTTTAATTTCTGTTTTACCTGTTTCTTTTTTAAATTTTTAATTAGTATTTATAGTAAAATAAAAAAAAATTAAAAAATTTTTGTTTTAAATTCTTAAGTATTTATAACTTCTTAATAATAAAAAATTTAAATAATAATTAATTATATAACTTTATAAAAATTATTTTTGAATCTAGAATAAAGTTGTTGACATGAAGTCCTTATATTAGTAATCCAATAAATACTAATAATGAAATTCTAATTTTTGGAAAAATTAATATCCTTGTATTGCTTTTTCTACATAATAAGTAACAGTTTAAATTGTAATAAAAATAATTATTTCAGTCAATTATTAAAATTTACTTTTTTGAAAATTGAAATTGTAAAAGTTCTCAATTTTAAACTATAAATATTCTTTTTATAATTCCATTTTACTAAAATTTTATTTAAAATTAATATAATGAATTATTTATTGTCAGCCATCCGTTTTGTTTTACACGATATGCGATCGGTTGCTGGACTGAGACATGTAAGTTTACTAAATATATATATATATTTACTACTATAATTTAAAAAATTTTAAGAAAATTTGGATTTTTTTTTATAAGTAAACAAAGTTAAATCCAGGTCTATTCTTTAGTATTAACATAGACTTTTTACTTGTATCAAAAATTTAAAAAACTTTAAAATTATTAAAAAAAGTATAATTGATTCAAATAATAAATTTTAAAATTTTAAAATTATTTTTATCACTACTATAATGACTACTATTTATGTAGTTAAAAATACTTATGTGGCATTTATTTTTAATATAAATTATTATAATAAAAAAAAGCTTTAAGTTAATGTTTTCATAATAAACCAACTTTAATTATAAAATAAATTTACTAAATGAATATAAATAAGCTTTTACTATTAAAAAAAAATTTGATTTCGGTTTTACACAAAATAAACTGAAACGTTTTCTATTTCATTTTATTAATTATATTAAGTTATATTTTAGAACTTTTTATTTTCTATAAATTTTATGTTTGATTTGTAATTTCAGTATATTCCAGATATAAGTCTATATAAATTTCAATACATTTTTTTATTTAAATGGTATTTCTTATAATAAATTAGTAAACCAAACTTTTTTCTTGTTTATATTTACGCAAATTTTATACTATAAATGATTTTTTTAAAACTTTCATATATTTAAATCTATTATATTACTAAAAAGAAAAGTAATTTTACTTTTTGATATTACTTTAAAAAAACCAGCCAATTTTTTTAATATTTAAAGATTAAAAAAAAAAACTAGCGAAAATTTCAGTACATCTTTTTATTTTTATTACAGTAAAATTTTTTTATAAATATCATTCGGCAAATATATTTTTAGTTAACCAGAAAATATTTTATTTACTATTATTAATTTTTTTAATACTAGAAGGAAATTTTTCTATACATCTCTACTTTTCGTTTCAAGTTATTATTAAGGCTAATATCTTATATAATAATATATTTATTAACTTTAATATATTTAAAAGCAAACTATTGACTTTTTATGCTTTTATTAAAAATATTATTTAATTTATACAAACTTTTAATAAATAAAAGCTTCTAGTTCAGAAGTATAACTATATAACTATTTTAAAATTTTATCGGATTAAACATATGTTTAAGATGATATTTATAATATTTATAAAAATTTAAAAGTTCATTTATTATTTTAATTATTTATTAATAATACAGGTATAAATATTAAATTCATGAATGTTATATTTCCTGTTATACTTTATAATAATTTTAAAAAAATTCTTCATTTTATAATATATAGTATTTGTATATATAATAATTCATTGTTATTATAATGTTTTTAATTATAGTTTATTATGTTTATTATGTTTCTTTTATATATAATAGTTTATTATATTACGGTATTTTTAAGCGTTTTTCTGTGTCTAATAGCAACGCGATGACGGCCATATCGCTCCTTCTGGTTATGTTCAGATTACTTTTGATAATACCGACCGCACTATTCCTGTACATTATATATTATTATTATTATTATTATTATTATTATTATTATTATTATTATTATTATTATTATTATTATTATTATTATTATTATTATTATTATTATTATTATTATTATTATTATTATTATTATTATTATTATTATTATTATTATTATTATTATTATTATTATTATTATTATTATTATTATTATTATTATTATTATTATTATTATTATTATTATTATTATTATTATTATTATTATTATTACTATTATATTATTATTATTATTATTACTATTATTATTATTATTATATATTACTCTAAATTTTATCTTTTACAATTATTTTTTGCTATTAATAAAAGATTGACGAGGATGAAGTTGTACTGAGAAGAACTTTGGGAATGAAAAAAGGAGAATATTATCTTAATAAAAAAATGACCTCGTGAGTTTTAAAAACACGTGTTTAACGTCGTTCTATATTTTTTAATGCAAGCTTGAGTAAAAATGGTTTTTTTGCGGGTCATACGTATAAATTTTTTTCCAGCGGCTTTATATACTCTTATACGAGATTCTTGAATTTTTTTTTTTTTAAATTTTTTTTCAGCTGATTTTTTAAAAAATAATAAATCTTTTTAGCATGCGTAGCTCATTAAAAACTTATCAGAGCCTTTACTTTTTAGGCTACTTGTTTATGTATTAAACTGTTTTTATTGACTGTTTAATTAGTGCTACTTCAATATAATTGGATAAAAAGATAAGGATAAAAAGATAATAATAGATCCGTCTTATACTTATATTAAAATTATTATCAAAAGAGGATATATATATTATATAATATACTCTTATTTATATATAATTCATATGATTCACCTTTTATTTTTTACTTCTATTTATTTCAATTATATTTTCAGTAAAGAAGATGTAATGAATCTTTTAGAAACCGCGGGCTTTTCTAGATCAAACCCATATTATATTGTTCAACAAGGAAAGGTTCTTATTATAATAAAAGAGATGATAAAATTAAACAGCTCACTTACTTATGTTATAGATAAGATAAATATAAAAAAAAACTTATTACTATATAACACAATAATGTAAAATATAGTATAAATCATTATAAGTACTAAAAGTATAATTTTTACAATAGAAATTTATATAGAATATATATATATAAAGTAAAATTAAAATATAAACTTGTTATTAAATATCAAAACTATATAAAATATAGTATGAAATATTATATGTACTTAAAGTATAAACTTTTATAATAGAAATGCATAATAAAAATCTATAATAAGAATTAATTTTTTTTATTTTAGTTAATAAACTGCAAATTATAATGAAATCTAATACTTTTTTTTAATAATTTTTTCAGTTGCATATTAACTATTATTATAATACTATTATAAACTCAAAAACTATTTATTAAAAAAGTTATATAGATGTATTATAAAGTAAATATATTTAAAAAATTTTCAATAAATATATAAAATATAGTAAAGCTGTTAAGTTATCTTTAGTAAACTTTGTTATGCCCGCCATAAAGATATCTTAAAGTTATATAAAGATATAATAAACAATATAATGAAAAAAATATATCATTTAACCTTAAAAAGAGTTTATATTATCTACGAAAAGTTTGAAAAGCATTTTAAATAATGAAATGTAAATAGAATTAGTTATAATATAAAAACTTTTTAAATTATACAATTAAAAATTTTATATTACAACTAAATTTTATTGCTTCTTGGACTCGTGTTTTAAATATTTTTATTTATTTTATTTAAAGAATTTGAAAAATTATCAGTTATTATATTAATTTTAATAATATTTTTAAATAAAAAAAGTTTATACGATTATTAAAGTATTAAAGAAATTTTTTAAGGTCTGAAAAAGAAATCATATAATTAAAAATTTAACAAAAAGTATTAGAAAAAGTTTGTAATGAAAAATATTATAATTAATAAATAAATATACATTTTAACTTATTTATATGTAACAAAAAAATTAATAATTTTTGAATATTATTTAAAAATAATAACAATTATTAATTGCAATTCCGTTTTTCAAAAAAAAGTTTGAAAAATGCGAAAAAAGTTAAATTTTTAGGAGCAACAATTTATTGTAAGTAAAAAATAGTTTAAAAAAATAAAAAGTATTAAAAAGTATAATATTGTAAATTAAGAAAAAATATAACTAAAGCTTTTTAATATAAATATTAATAAAATAAAGAAAGAGTTCTAAAATATGTATAAAACAATAATAAGTTAAAGTTTTTGGAACACCGAAGAAAAAATTGTCTAGATGTAAAAGGATTTCTAAGTAAGAAAAACTGTAACACTTTTTAGTGATATTTTATTTCCTGAATATATGTAATTACTATTGCTGGTGCGTTGAGCCATTATTAGAGTTTGGTATACATATTATTTTTAAATAGTAATAAAAACAATAAATAGAAATTATTAAGAAAAATATGAATAGTAAAAATTATTATAATAAAACCTACTAGCCTGCAACTTTTGGCTTATATACATTATATTTGCGTTATTTTTACTATATTTTCATTATTACGTAATTTATTATTATTGAAATATATTTATTATACTTTTATATTATTTATTTTTAAAACTACGTTTATTTTTGTTACTTTTATATAATTTTTCATCCAATTATACACAATAATATTTTTATTTTATATATTATTATTATTATTAAAGATCATGGCCTTAACCAATGCAAAACCTGAAGACCGTTTGGAGTTACTTAAAGAAGTAGCTGGAACACGTGTGTACGAGGAGAGACGAAAAGAAAGCCTGTCCATATTAGAAAGCAGCGGTTTTTATTATATTACTGTTATGATTTTTAAAGTATATATTCCAAAATAAAAATTTTTTAAAAATATTAAAAATATAGTATAATAATAAAATTATCTAAAATACGAAGTAAATACAAAAAATTTTCTATAAAAGACGCTAAGGCGGATAAAATAAAAAATGTTTTGAATTACATTGAGGAGCGTCTCGTGGAACTGGAAGAAGAAAAGAATGAAGTATATTATTATTACTACTATTATTATGATTTCTATAATTTTTATTATTAGCTAAAAAGGTATCAACAACTCGATAAACAAAAACGCATACTTGAATACGTTTTATATGAAAAAGAACTTCAAGAGATTCAGTCAAATTTAGATGATGTAATTATTATTATTATTACTATTATAATAATTATTATTATTACTATTTTTATTTTAGGTTGAAATACTTTATTCCAAAGATAATGACAGAAGCTCCAAAGAAAATGACTTGCTTATAAAAATATATTCAGATAGTGAAGTAATTAATAATAATAACTAAGAACTATTTTATTTCTAATATACTATTAATAATAAATTTTTTAATGTTCTCGAATATTTTATATAAACTTTCAGTCTGCTCGAGAAAAATACAAAGCAATAACTTCTGATAAAGACGTTTTACTAGCCAATCGAATTTCCAAAAAAGAGGAACTTGAAGGAGCGATTAAAGTCCATTATTATTTTATAATTAATCATTGATTATTATTCTTTATTATCTATTATAATTAATATTTTCAAACAGAAACGGGTTAAGCTCGAACTAGAACTGAGCGATCTTATTAATGACGAAGCTGAAAAAGAACAAAAAAAAGTTCATCATTCCTCATTTTATTATTATTGTACATATTCTCACTATATTTAAGTACACTGCAAAATATTACAAGTACTATGAAATATTACATTCTTTTAATATATAAGTAAAACCCCCTTTATTTAATGAATATTTTGAAGAAACAAGTTTATGAAGAACTTGCGATTCTCAAATCAACCATCAATAAGAAGCGTGAAGAGTATAAAAGTTTTCTTCCTCTCTATGAAAAAGTCAAAGCGGAAGAGGCAGTGGCCATTCAAAAGTTTATTAATATTATTATTATTATATTATTATTATTATTATTATTATTATTATTATTATTATTATTATTATTATTATTATTATTATTATTATTATTATTATTATTATTATTATTATTATTATTATTATTATTATTAATTATTATTATTTATATTATTATTAACTATTATTGTTGTTGTTGTTATTGTTATTATAATTATTATTCCTTTTTTATTGTAAGCAATATATTATATAATAATATTGTCATTAACCTTAAAAAGTTTAAAAAATGATATATCTATAACACATTAAAGTTATATATGTATTATATGTTTATTATAATGTTTTTTTTAAGAATAAATAATTTTTTAGATTTTATTTAAATAAAAATAAAACTTTTAGTAGTAAAACATTAAAGCATAAATTTAAGTGAATATCATGAAATTTTAAGAATTTCCTTCTTCAATAGTTTTGAAATAATAAAACGCAAAAACTAGTGGATAGTGTTGAAAATACTTTTGGAATAATAATAGTAAAAAGGGAAATTGAAAAAAAAAATTTATTTAATTTTATGAAATATTTAATCAAAAAAAAGTATTAATAATAATAAATAATAGTGAAAAATACAGAAAATATAGTGAAGAGCATCGAAAAGTTTTGGGATGCTGTTTATGTATTTTTATAATAACCCATAAGTAAAACTTTAATATAATAAAAGAGATTATATAGTTATGCTAGTCACGCTTGAAGCTATTATGAGTAAAGAACGCAAATCATAATTGTGGAGTAAAAGAGCATAAAAAATAATGAGTTGGGGAAGGTTTCAATATTACTAAAAAATTCTATTAAAATTGTAAATTTTTTATACAAAATAGAAGAAATATTTCATGAATTTATAAAATTGTAAAATATAAAATAATTGTAGTCTTTAAAAAAAAAAAAAAATTTAATATTTATGATGAAGGTAATTATTCTTATTTCAATATTTTTTTTAGTGTTTTTGTGGCTTACTGTATTTTTATTATTTTAGACTGGAAAGCGCTGAGCTGCGCAGGCAGGAATTGCTTACAAAGCAAGGAAGGTCCAAGCAATTCACCAAAAAAGAAGACCGCGATATTTATATAAAAGAACAACTTCACTTGTTTAGAAAAAAGGAAGGTCCAAGCAATTCACCAAAAAAGAAGACCGCGATATTTATATAAAAGAACAACTTCACTTGTTTAGAAAAAAGCTTAATGAAAAACTATCGTTGGTATTTATTATTATTATTATTATTATTATTATTATTATTATTATTATTATTATTATTATTATTATTATTATTATTATTATTATTATTATTATTATTATTATTATTATTATTATTATTATTATAGATTCAAACTATTATTACAGCTTTACACTATTAGTATACATTCTTCGTTTAACCTTTTATTTTTTTATTAGACAATGTATTATGAGAATTATATATATTTATAAATACTATTATTACAAAATTTATTAGTATTATTATACCAAATTTTAATACATTAAAAAAATATATATTGGTAGTTATTCTTTTGTCTTTATTATATATAATTATTACTTATTTGTAGAATTTTATCGCGTTTAAACAAGTTTTGTATGTATACAAAAAATAACTTAATAACTTTATATATTAAAATTATGTATACATTAAAACTCTATTTGTGCTATTTTCAATAAATAATTGTTACTGAACGTTTTATTTATTAAAAGTTTTAACGTTAACAATTAATATTTTTATAAATATATATAATATTTCACAGTTATTCAAATTTTAGAGCATCAATATGTTTATTAGTATAACATAAATTGTTAAATTAATTATTTTAATGATTTCAGTGAATATTTTTAATTTGATTTTATTACTATTAATATACCTTTTCAATTATATTAATAAGTAAATTTTATTTATAAATTCATTAAAGTTTGAGGAAGAACAACAAAATTATGAAACCACCGAATTACAAAGTAAAAAGTTGGCCGAAACGTTGAAGTTCCAAATAAAAGTAAAGTTTTGTATCATTTTCGTTAACTACTTATAGTCCAACCAATACCTGCACCTTTTTTGTAATTAAACCACTTCAGTTGTTGTCATTGGCGGAGTGCTAATTTTTATCAACTTTTATTGGTCGTTCGGGAACAAGGGTGCCCGTCTATTCAGTAGTTTTTAATGAGTGAAGGCTTTTAGTTAGACGGACGCGCGTGTGAGCATACCTTAAAGATTTATAGTCTTGCACTTTTTATTTGGTGCTTTGCTAGAGGATCGGCCCCATTTTACGCTTCAATGTTACCCAATTTGGAACTTTTTATTTTTTTCTAAATTTTTTCCCTTTTGTTACCGATTCATCTTATTTCATAACTTTTTAATTAATTTTATAACATTAGGGATTGGAAGAAACTAAGAAAAACATTGAATACAGTGAACAACAAATTACTAAGAAGCGAAAACTTCGCGATGAAGCACTCAATGAGCAAAAGTTTTTTTATTATATATTATATAAATAATATATATCCGAATAAAAATGAATTATTCTAAAAGGAATGATACATATTAATAAGAATGAACCAATAATATGAAAAAAATTAATAATAGCAATGAGTATATTCATAAAACTTTTTATAGAAATTTGGGATAAACTGTAAACACAATAAATAAATAAATTAAATTATTAAATAAAACTATGAAATAGATAAATAAAAGTATTACTTTAATAAAAATGTACAATAATAGCCTTAAAATACTTTTAATACGGCAACAATATTTTTTATTTCATATAAATGTTTAACAGTTCAACAATTATTTGTGCTTTTTATTGAAATTGAAAGTTCGGCCAATAACATAAAAGAATATTATGTACACAATTGGATTAACGTTATCTTAATTAGGTCTGACTAATAAAGACCAACTTTATCATAATTTGGTCAGATAGACCACATACTGTAGCCATTGAATATTTTCCTGTACTATTAGCGCCCTTAACTAATATTGTTACAAATTATCTCATTTTTTAACGCAAACTATTAATTTTTATAGGGTTTTAATCAATTATTTCTGGAAAAAAAATTATAACCTTTTTTTATTTAGAAAGTTTTGGGCTAAACAAAAACAACTTGAACGCGAGTTGGAAACTGTCAAAGTGGATCTTCAAAGAGCCAAACGTTATCAAGAAACCACCATGAATAAAGTTTTACTATAATTATTTAGATATTAAAAATTTTAAATAGAAAAACATATAAAATAACTAATAAACAAATAATATCAATAAAAATATTAAACAAGTAGAAATTTTTATAAAGATATATATTAAATAAGTAAAATTAAATTAATGAAATTATTTAGTCGCACTTTCACGCGTTGAGCGCAGTAAAAAGAATTGTGAGGAACAATAATATTGAAGGTTTGTTTTTTTTTTCTTATTATTTAAATTATTCTATAGTTAACGAAATTAACTTTTTTGTTTTCTTTTATTTCTTTTAATAATTTTTTTCCTGCATATGAAAATTTTATGAAATGCTTATTAATAGTTAAATTGCGGTAATCAATTCCTTATTTGGTAGCTGCTATTTTAATTTCCTTACCTCTATTGGGCCTTTTTATCGATAAAAAAGATCAATTAGACAGAATAATCGACGGTAGACTTACTAACATATATAATCAATTTATCCAAAGGACGTCAAATATTATTCTTAGCGTAGCAAAATGGCGTCCATTAGCGTTTATTTAAGCGTACATTGCCTCTTTTTCTTTAACTAGGGCTGCTTTCATTATTTTCTCCCTCCACAGTTTTAGTGAATAGCTTATAGTTATTCTGCTTGAATTCCAAAAGGCATCTTTCTCTCTTTTGTTCATTCATTTTTTTTCTACTAAGAAAGGAAATAGTGGAGCGCTCGTCTTATTAGACCACCGATATAGTGCAAGCCATCTTTAGTTTTTCCGTATCATTCATTCTTCTTTAGTACTTTTAGCTAATAAAAAAAATCAGACTAATCTATTATGATCGTTCAGTTTTTATAAGCTTCTCATTGACTAATAATACTGGCGCAAAGGTCAAGGCATCGCTACCTTATACCATTTCAGCTGTTTTACTACTAATCATAAAAGCTCTCTTTATTTAATGATTAACAACCTAATAAAACCCCGTTAATAGTGTAACCTACCATTTTAACTCCCACTATAAAATTATTAAGTTTTAATGAGACTATCAGTTTTTTCGCCTTCTACTATTTCTGTGAAGACCTTTTCCTTTTCAGGTTATTGTTACTATGTGCAATGAAAAACTAAAATCTACACATAATAGGCTATTTTGGCCCAGTTATAGAGAATTTTGCCTGCGACAGACTTTTTAATACTGCCGTAGAAGTATCCAGCGGCAACAGGCTTTACTTACTATAATTATTATTATTATTACTATTATTATTATTATAATTATTATAATTATTATTTTCATTACTATATAGTTTATTTTATGTCATTGTCGACAAAGAAGAAACGGCCTCGCTGATTCTTGAATTTTTAAAGCGAGAAAAGAGCGGCAGAGTAACGTTTGTGCCACTCCAGCAACTACGTATCCGTACTCACACGTATCCTGAGCATCCAGTAGTTTTGCTTTTCACAATTTTATAAAATATTTTTGGAAGGACACGTGTTTTTAAGTTATTATGTTTCATATAGAACGCAGATCCGCTTATTAAGTATATAAAGCCCAAACATCCATCTTTCAAGCCTGTTATGGAACATGTAAATATATATCGTTATTATTATTGCAAACTACCATCACTATTCTTATTGAACTAGTAAATGACATCTAGTTGGTGCTTAACGGATTATATATAAATAATATTTTATAAGATATTTGGTAAAACGATGCTATGCAAAGACTTTCCTACAGCCATCCACATGGCCAAGTCGTTTAAGTTTGACTGTGTGCTGATTGATGGTATGTTTCATTAATAACACCGCAACACAGCTGGCACATTGGTTTATTTTTATCAACGGCCTGTCATAGGCGATAAAGTCAGTCATAAAGGCTCTCTTACTGGCGGGTTTCTGGATGCCCGCCGGTCTCGTGTATCTGCCATTCGCGCGGTACAAAGCCTTAAAGAAAAGAAAAGGCAACTTAAACTGATGCTTCAGGAAACCACCAAATCGGTGTGCAGCTTTTTTTTAACTTATTATTTTAATTGGATATTACTAAGTAAGGAAGGGATGGTAACTTTTCGCATGCAGGTTCAAGCGGCTACTTTCAAAGCTAGTACTGTGACTGGAGACTATGAAAGCGAGCTCACGTTGCACAAACAAGCCCTAGCAAGGTTTTTTGTGAACTTTGCATTAGAGGGATAATAATAATAATAATAATGAAACTTTTAATAGATATGAAAGAGAAAAATTAGAGTACCGCGACAACCTTGGAAAGAAAAAATTTTATTTGGAAGCTTTGCAAAATAAAGTTGTTATTATTATTATTATTATTATTATTATTATTATTATTATTATTATTATTATTATTATTATTATTATTATTATTATTATTATTATTATTATCATTAATGTAGAAAACCAATCTCGATGCACTAATGCGCAGCACTGATTCGCTCCAGCAGGAAATAAAACTACTGGAAAAGGAACTCCACTCTCCAATGGTGGCTTCCTTGTCACGTGCTGAGGATAGTGAATGTAAATTTTAACCATTAAAAATTATACTTAATAATATTTATATTGAAAAAATATTTTTAATTTTAATTATATTTTTATAATAAAAATATATTTTATTTGTGCTTTTTTAATGAAAATTAATACCATTACAACACTTACATTTGAGTAGAATTATTATTTATATTTTTATATGTCATTGCTAGCAGCATCTAAGCTTTATTTATTTTAAACGCTCAGATATTAATAAAGTTTTCATTAAATTATTTTGGGCTTACAACTTTATTATTATATTATATATTTTTTTAGTAAACAGTTAACGTTTCAACTTTTTTTGAGATAAAATATTTTTTCAAAAGGAGATAATATTATATTTTTCATTAGGCAAACTCTCAAAAATGATAGTAGACTTTTATGTTTAAGTGTTTTGTTAAAATTCATAACTATTGGTTAACTTTCATACTAACCACCAATCGCTAACCTCCTTTTAATAAAACACGTGACAAGTAATGACCCTCAATAAGCGACTATCCGCACTGCGCCTTCAGACTGAAAAGTGTGGAATCGCGCGCACAGAGGTACGTTTTCTTGAGTCCGTTTAACATTAAAAAAAGTGCGCAGCACACTATTTGACGCCGATGGGGTTATTTTATCAACCGAATTAAGTATAAAAGCGCTTTCACAGTTTTAAAACGGCTCAAAATTAATTTATCTACAGACGGAGGGAAGCATGAAGGCTCTCGAAAATGAAATCAACTCGAATCTTCTGATTCGTGAAGCCGAACTTGAGCAACATCTCCTCGATTTGAAGTTTTACGGATAATATCATTATTAATATTATTATTTATATTATTATTATTATTACTATTACCGTTACTATCACTATTATTATTATTATAGTTTTTCAGGTGTAGTAACTCAAGGAGATCGACAAAGCGAGCTTCATATTCTCAATACTTTTATTGAGAATACCAAAAGAGAACTTCAACGTGCTTAAACGTTTATTCAAATTTTCGTTGACTATAATAAAAATTATATTATAATATAATTATTTTCCTTCTGTTACATACTTTTTTCATATTTTTATATATTATTATTGTTATTATAATTATTGTTATTTTTATATATTATTGTTATTATTATTATTATTATTATTATTATTATTATTATTATTATTATTATTATTATTATTATTATTATTATTATTACAGTAATGGATGATCGACTCACAATGTTGGATAACGAAATTCAAGAAGTAGAAGAACTTATCAAAGACTTGCAAGTCTCCATTATTACAACTTTAAAAACTTATATTACTACTATTATTAATTATCGCCATTATTACTACTATTATTATACTTTTTAGGCTAAAAGTAAAGAAATTCAAGAAGATATCGAAAAACAAACTCGATCTCGCGATCATCTTGTAAATAAAAGAAGCATTTACTTAAGAAAAAAGGAAGAAACTTTAATAAAAATAAGGGAACTCGGCTCGTTTCCCACTAACTCTACACGTGAGTTTGCCTCGTATACTCTTAACCAGGTTTCATTATTTTTATTATTTTCATTATACTGTTACTATTGTTGTTGTTATTTCTATTACAACTTTCATTTCCAAAAGCTCCACGATAAACTTCAAAAGTGCAACGAAAACTTGAAAAAGTTTAGCCACGTGAACAAAAAGGCACTGGACCAGTTCATTAATTTTAGCGAGCAAAAAGAAACACTTCTTGAGCGTAAAAAAAAACTCAATCAAAGCAGAAAAGTAAAAAAAATAGTTATTTTTGCCTAATTAATTCTTTTGCAATTGGTTAATTTCGGTTCACTTCTTTTTGTATGCTGAAGGCCATCGAGAGTCTGATTAACCATTTGGACAAGCAAAAAGATGAGGCTATCCAGAGAACTTTTCGCCAAGTGATTATTATTATTAATATATCCAATCATTCATTCATTAATTTTTGAACATTACAACTTTTTTTAAATAAAATATTTTTTTGTATAAAATTTTTTTTAAACTAATTCTCTTTCACTAAATTTATATTTATATTTATATTATTGTTTCTAAAAGGTGCAAGAATACTTTTCTGAAATATTCGCTGAACTTGCTAAAGGCAAAAAGGGGAGTGCAAGGCTCATTATGCTCACCGACGAAAACGAACAAAGCCAATATATTGGTAAGTAATTACTATTAAGATTATGTTATTATTAAATATTATTAGGCGTGGATATTGACGTCCAATGGGGAGAAACGAACTCCCAAGTTAACCAATTGTCCGGAGGAGAAAAGTCGGTTATGGCTTTGGCCCTTATTTTTGCTATTCAGGTGACTGACTAAAAAATAAAAATTGTAATTTAAATAACTAATAAGTAGAAAGCGGATCCTGCGCCTTTTTATATTTTCGATGAAATTGACCAGGCCATGGACAGGTAGTTTAATAGTGGTAATAATAACAATATAGTAATAAGTAATAATAGTAACAATTTTAATAATAATAATAATATAAACGTATTACTACTGTATAATTTTTTATTTTTATAAGTAGGGCTAATTTTTTTTCCTTATTGTTCATAATTTTTATAATTTATTCGAAAACCTCTCTAATTAAAAAAAAATAAATATATTACGTAATATTTTTTATACATTTTTATTTAATTTTTGTATTTTATATTAATTTTTTTTTATTTTTCATAAAAGTATTAACCATTTACTTTTTAGTGTGTACCGATTGGCCATTGCTGAGCGTATAAACTCACTAAAAGAGCACAATCAGTTTATAGTAACCACTTTCCATCCAGAAATGCTCGAATATGCGGATTGCTATTACGGTTCATAATAATGATAATAATAATTCTTATGAGCATAGCAAAATGTCATTGTTTGTTAGTAACTTATAATAATACTAATATTTATATAACAAATTATATTTTATGGGTATTATTTATTATTATTTTACAATTTTTTATAAAAAAGGTATCAAAAATACTGGAAATAAAAGTCGAATTGACACGTGTCCTAAACATGTGGCTCTCTCGCTTCTTCAAAACTAATTCTGAAACTTTTTATAGGATATAAACTTTTATTTACTACCAGAATAAATAAAAGAATCAATTTTTTATTATTTTGAATGTACAAATTTGTACCTATGTTCGAAGGTCCTCGTTCGAATTCTTATTTTGCACTTTTCGACAAATTCTGATTCGTCGGCTCTAAATTTATTATCGTGATTCATAATTTACAATTTTTATTGTCACCATCATTATTTTGTCATTATTTATTATTACTGTTATTACTACTCTTAATATAATATTATTATTGTTTCTTATATATTTTAAATGCTACTACTATTATTACTATGAATATTACTATTATTATTTATTCCGTATTATTCATACTATTATTATTACTCTCTATTATTACCACTGTTATCTTGTTTTTTATAATTATTTTTTATTAATACTATTATCTCTTATTATTATATATTACTTACTATAATTTATACTTTTATATTTAATATAACTATTACTATAATTGATACTAGTACTAATTTGTTATTATTTATTTACTTTTTATTATTACTATTATCACAACTATTATTCATTTTAAAAACGTTAATTATTATTTACAACTTATTTTTTATTACTACTATTATTATCGCCATTTTTTATTTTAATATCATTATTTAAAATTTTTTTACTAATTTTTATTAAACTATTTCTTAATTATTATTTTTATGATTGCTATTATTATCATTATTATTAATGAACCCGAGAGGCCAATCTATGCGGTATTGAAGTTTTTGAATTTGCTCCTCATTAAGTTTGTCAAACTTATTAAATCTTATTCTTGCAAAAGTTTTATATATAGAAATAATAATAGTTATTGTATATATATAAGAAAAAAAATTATAGTTAAAAGTTATTAAAAAAATATTAAATATAAAGATTTTTTATATAACAAAAAGTTTAAGTTAATAATAATAATAAACCACCTTTCTATGGTCGTCCAAGCAATCATCACCCCGTTGTCCGTGCAAAGTTCTTTAGGAGGAACAAAAAAAGTCTTATTGTATATTCTGCACAATTTTGCAATATTCACTCGAATGGATTCATTAGAAGCAACACCTCCAGAAAGAACCTGCGAAAATAATTAATGATAATAATGTTAATGGATATTCAGATTCACGTTAAAATCAATGAAGGGCTAGATAAGAATAATAGCGAGCGAATAATTGGCTACCAAATATTAATACTGCGCACACATGGGATATTAAAAAAAGACATAACGACACACGTGAATTACAGAATTTAAATTATTAGTCAAGCTCATAAAAGTGCATACCACAGACTTGATGGGTGTCCTTCTATAGAAGTCGCAGTAGTTTATCGCTCTAGCAAGTCTAATCATAAGATGATTTATAACGGCCTCCTGAAAGGCCGCAGCCACGTTAGCTTTTTGCTATTAAAATTAAAAGTTATAAGTTACAAGTAAAAATAAATAATTTAAATTAAAACAATTTCTGTTACGGCAGGCCCAAAATCTTCAAGGCAGCCGGATGCCCAACTTCGTAAGCCAGCAAAAGAAAAGTGGCAATTCCTGTAAGTGCCCAGTATTTTCGGGCCTTGTAAAGATTCTGTAGAGGATTTTGCTTGAAAGTTAAGTTAAATTAATAACGAGTATTAAATATATAAAAAGTAAAAAATATACCCAACTGTTCCAGCTCTGCTCCGTTAGACAAGTTCATGGCACGTGCAACCTCAATAATAACTTTGGATACTATAACAAAATTCATCGACGAAGAGAATTTACTTTATCAAAAACATCTCCAGGCGCGGAATCGAGAGTGTATCCCAGCATAGAGTAATCTCCTACATCGGAAGCGAGGATCAGTTGACAGTTGCCTAAAAAAAAAAGACTACAACCCGTTAAACTTGATTAATAAAATAGTGTTAATAAACATAACAAACGGACCGCCAGATACCAAAAGAGCAATGAATGGGAACTCAATAAAATCAGTCAAACGAGAAGTCAAGAGATGAGCCTCAAGATGATGCACTCCCATTAACAGTTTGCTAAGACAATAAAAAAATCTCAAAATTTAAGTATATTTTAAATAACAAATTTACTTTGAATCTTCCTTTACTATTTCCTTAGCGAGCGCTAAGCCTACGCCTAGGCAAGCACCCAGTCCGGGGCCTTGAGTAACTCCAACAACATCAATATCCTAAAATATTAAAGAAAGTGAAGTTTGAAAGGTTACATAAAACAACAGATTTCAATAATACCTTCAAGCAGACGCCCGCCTGCGCTAAACACTCCTTTAAAAGGTTGTGTATGTGATTTTCGTGCATAATCTTTGCTTTCACAGGATTGATTCCTCCCCAGCTGAAATGTTTAAAAGACTAAACCGATCTTTTCATTTTATAGTCATTTATATATAAACTTCTCTCTTAACGTTTCCCAGTAATTTCGCTTTACGTGCGATAAGACTTTACCTTGAGAATCGAGAATAGCAATACCTATTTTATGGAGGTTAAAATTTAGTTGTAAAAAGAGTAGTTAATAGATCAACCCGTGTCATCACAGCTTGTTTCAATTCCTAAAACAAGATAATTATTGTAGAGTCTGCTGTTCACCGAGTGAAATTTAACGAGCAACGCTTCCTTGCAATTAATGTTTGAGGTGGTATAACCCACATTATTCCAAAGAGTGTAAAGCAGATGTTTATTTAGTTTTTTATATCCAGAAGAATATAAGTTAGCTGTACATATGTATTTCGCAATCATAAAAAAAGTTTAAAGTAAGGATACAGAACTTTTTAGTAACTTTTGGAAATGCAGTGACCTCTTTTTACACATGTTAACCTAGCACTTTGCCTTCGTTCAGCGGTAGGCCCGAAAATATTTTTGTGGAATTTTTTTAAGGTAAAAAAGTGTAACTTACTTAGCTCCATCATTAATCATTTAACGTTTTTTATATATTATCATAAAGGCGCCATAGTTTTTACTGGTGTCTTCTCCGGCGCATTAAAGTTTAACCTTAACGTTTGGCATCTTAAACATATATGTAAGCGGTGTACAGTTACCAAAATGCAACTAAAGAAGGTCATGATAAAGACTACGAGACCAAATAAAGGAGTGAGAAAAATGAGAGCGGGGACAACATTTAAATTAAAATTTTGTATTTATAGGAATTTTATTGTTTCCAAGTATTCTTAAAAGTAAACATTTTCTTTTTTAACGCTAACTGCAGTGTTCCACATTGAGCTCTTTTTATCCCCTTGCTTTGTGGGCTTTAAGGCAAAACATGCCTCAGCATGGTTACCAAGAAGAATGCCTTACATGCATAAGATGAAGGAATTTACCTTTTGCTAAAGCCACTAGCCCCATTTGTCAGCTTCGGCAGTGCTATCTAGTCGTGTTTGCGAACTGGTCGAAAATTTTAAATAGCGGATGAAGAGAGAAAAAGATTATCTTTGAAGGTCCCTCCCCTCCGGGGGACACTTAGTCGGGGAGAGTGACTGGCTGGTTTCCAAGTGGCTACAGGTCTAGTACTTAAGAGTTCCTCCATGGTGGTGGTTTTTAGGGGTTTTCCGCCGCTCTAGGTTGAATAACGGGAATTTGAGACAGATATCATCTCTCCTACCTCCTACTCCTCCGAAAGAGTCATGTTATTTCGGGGAAATGCACCGTAGGGCATTCACGCCCCGTCTTCCTCTTGGAGGGGAAATTAAACTAAGCGGTTTTAAGATTAGTACTGAACGTAATATGCTAGTGTAAAAAAACAATAACATTTTCTTTTTACGAAGAAGGGCATTGCACCCACATAACACTACCCAGTGAACAGCAACGTACTTTATACTTTTAGTCGAGAGCAGACTAACAAGAAACATGACTTTTTTAAGAAATCTTCCCGAATTGTTTTAATTTTTTTCTCGCTCCATTAAATTTCATATGTATAGGGATGTAATGCTTCATAAACTTCAAACCTCCATTGCCAGTGCCAGACAACTTTCACATGCAGCTTCACTTATATGCGGATGACACAGAGAATTACTCCTCGTCAGTCACCCGCCATACTGCTCCAGCATATGCGGTACTACCTATCGACGTTTTCCAACTTGCGTCCTCGTTAGAAAATTACTATAATGCGGAAAAGAGCAAAGCCCTTTTTATCACAAAGAAGCGCACTACACCACCACCGCCGCTCACCTTTGAAAATAAGGTAATTCCTTGGTGTCCTCAGGCGGAGTACCTGGGATGTCATTGTTGATATTAAGCTCTCGTGGCGGCCGCACGTAAACTATATCGCGGCCAAGGTCAAGAAGGTGGTTCAAACTCTTACCTTTTACTTTGGGTTCGAAGCAAACTCTTGCACAACAAACGACGCTTGTATTTGTTGTGCATCCGACCGATTATGACGTACGCGTAACTGCTTGGGTCTACGGCAATAGTCTCTTCGCTTCAAGTAAGACAAAACAAGTTGCTACACCTTAAGACGGGAGCTCCGTGGTTTGTTCGCAACGATGCCTAACATAAAGACCTTCAGATTGAACCTCTGAGAAACGTTTTTCGACGCAATGCCATCGTTACCTACGAACGGCTCAGTCAGCGTCTAGAAATCTGGGCCTGCGCATGTCATCTCCGTTCGCGCAATGGACTCAAAATATATAATATGGGTTAGGAGTAGAACTATTTTTAATATATATATGAGTTTGCTTCAACACAATCTTAAAGGTAATGCGTACACCCCTATTGAGAACTCTTAAATTTGGTGTTTTCTTTTACTACCCAAACGAGCACCAGGAAATATCATTAGTAATAACTAAATAAAATAAACTCCGGACCTCGTTTCTTGATTTTTTTATTTTTTTGTTTGTTAGACCCTCGTTGCGCAAAAATCAGCGTCGGTATGCTACTGCACGTTATAACGAGCGCGCTTATGAAACGTTGCTCTACACCAACTCTTAAAACGGGGTCCACTCCATCGCAGGGCTAACTCCATCAACGAAACGGCTAATCGGGGATACTAAATGATTACTGATAAGCGAACTCACTACGAATTATAAGGAGGAACGATCCTAATGTTGCCCGTGCCATGTGCTCTGAGTTTGTTCTATTTAGGCTTAAGTTTAGAAATTATGAATAACATTAAAATTCTCAATAGAAATCATACTTCAAAGTAGGCTAAACTTTATTTTTAGCTATCAATCCGCCCACTAACTTAAAAAAAACTGGGTTTTGGTTGGCCCGAGGAGCATAAAATTTATACAGTTAAATAATTAAGTTTCTTTTTCACTTTCTGTAAGCCTAAATAACTTACGAAGGAACGATTCTCCCTAAAAAAAAAAAATCTCGGTGATCAACACTCTATTTTAAAGAAATCAAAAAGATAGAGCTCAAATTTTATTCTATAAAAAATTTAGAAAGTGGAAATCTAAAGGAAGCTGGTTTATTTAAAAAACTAAGGATTGCTTCTTTAAACAACGACAAGAATGCAACTAATTAGCCACTAGTATTTTGTTTAAGTGGTCCTAGGTTGAAGTATACAAGTCACTTTCTTGTTCATAATTATAAAATAATAGGTTTATTATAACTTTTTAAAAAATTATTGTTCATATTAACTTAAAAGAAAATAGTATTAAAAACTCACATGACATTAACTTACCAAGGGGTTTAATTTATAAGCCTTCACAGTAAAGTAAAGATTAGAGGGAAAAAAAGGAATATTAAAGATATAACGGTAGCTAATAATATTCTAAGTATATATAATAAATGTTATTTTAATTAAAATTAAAATAGTGCGGTCATGTTATCTTAGTGCAAAAGAAATGAAATTAGTATGGCAAAGCTATGCTTTATTATCTTTTATAAATTAATTTTACAGTAGCTCGACATTTTTAAAACGTAGACTGCGTAATCTATATTTATATATTATCAGCGCGTTCACTAACTCAAGTTATCTTTTATGTCCAATGCAACAAGAAAATATACTAAATTCACAGTCTACAGAACTCCTAATACACAAATCAAAACACATTATACAGAAAAAACAAAACAAAAATAGAAAAACAAAAATAAAAATTGATTACAAAAACATATTATATAATATATTAAGTGTAAAGTACACCACCATAAAACACATACATGCAACCATGAACGCAAACACAAAACACTAACCTCCTAACTTTTCGCAGAAAAAATGATTCTTGATTAATCCAATCAGAAAACTGAAGAACAACTAATAAAGCTCAAGAAAAGAGAATTAAAATTTTTTTAACATAAAAAATTTATTTTGATCTACCTTATTAATTAGAAACAAACTAAACAAAGTAAAATTTTATCTGGTTCAATTTTAATTTTCCGTACATATATGAAGCATATTTCGACCTTTTGTTAAGGAATAAATACAGACCGAAACTGGTAAGAAAATTCCTTCCTTGCTCTCTTTTTATTTCTTTCATTTGTATCTATATATTTTTTATAACACTACATTATTCTACTTAATTATAAAGATTATCATACATATTTTAATTAATCCTTGCCTTAATATACTCTTTTCATATAAATCATACAAATATTGAGATATAGCGTCTCCGAGTACGTGCAACAAGAGGATGGCTCTAAAGTGTTGTTCTATTCCCAACCCAGCATGAAAAGGTCATGTCGTTGCGGTACCGGCTCTCAACTGCATTAACTTTTTTTGTTATGACTTGCAGTGGATTTCTACATGTACGTTGTAAATCGAGAAGCACACAAAGAAGCGTAAGTGATGGTCGGTGAGTACGCAAACCGTGTTAGATCGCAACTTTTGCAAGAACATCTTGCTCTCGCACACACTAGCGGGAAAAGCGCGGCCCCGTGGGAAAGCAACGTGAAGAGCGCCTCGCTTTTCCTATATTCCAACTGGCAAGTAAAGCCGAGCTTGCAAATAAAATCACTTTTAACCTTTTCTTTGCATGATAATAAAATTACTACATTGTTCTTAAATATATATCTAAAAACTATTTATTAGTTTTTTGATTCCTTTGATAGTTGCATTTTGCATTGCTAATAAAAAAAATAAACTATGTCCTCAACTCAGAAGAGTACGGAGGTTACCACTGATTCTTTGCAAGATGGGCAGGCCACTATTAGTTCTCCAGTAAATACTGTCGAGAAGAAGAATGTAACAAACGAACCGCAACAACATCCTTCAAATACTTCTTCTAAAACGGTTCCTTCTTTAACCTTAAAAGAAGCAACTTCTAGTAAGGCCGGTGAGTTTTTGTAGAAATCAAGTATATAACCTCCTTTGGTTTATTTTTTTCAAGTAACTTCTCCCGTTAAAGAAGCTGAACCTTTGATAAGTTCTTCATCTCCTCCCAAAAGCTCAAATATACAGAATACAAATCCTTTTCGACGAAGCAGTATATTTGAACCCTTGCAGAAAAGTAGTATCCTTCCGGAAGAGCCTGCTTTATATAACAATTCCGCAATCAAAAGGAATGAACGAATTCTACGGTGTGAGCAAAGAATTCTTTCCAACGAATGGGATACCAAAGTAGGGGATACTTATTTATTGTAGCTTACTTTACAAGATAATACCTGACTTATTCAAATAGTACTCTTTTTATGCTATTAAATACATAAGCAATTAACTAGGCCTGGTTAGGAATTTTAAAGGAGAGTTTGTCCTCTTCTGTAGACACTGGACGTTTGTAAGATTCAAATCTCTTATTTTTTTTAAAGAAAAAATAGCTTATCATCTCTTTATGAGTAGTTATTTTGATTGTTTTTTTCGGCGATTTCCATTGTCCCCTTGTAAACTCAAGGAATACATAGACTTTGAGCTTCAGGTTTTTCGAAGATTTCTTGATTTTTTCTGACGTATATATATGTTTCTATGGAATGTTTAGCGTGGAAATGTAGGAGTTGTACAGAACATTTTCCAAAAACATCTAAAGAGCAGCGCTAATATAGAACTCTGGCGCTGTTATCTTCATTTTGTCGATACTCAAAATGAAGGCTTAGAGCAGATGGAGTATAGGTGGACTCTTATTTTATATTAATATATATATTCGTTAACTATTCAATAGAGCTGTCATGCTGAAAGCGTTTAATTTTGCGCTAGAGAATGTTTCGATTGATATATCGAGCACGGTTATATACCGAGATTACATTGAATTTATTAAAGTATGGTTGTTTTCGTATAATTATAATAACATATGTAAAACAATTATTCTCAGAAATGGAAACCTGAAGTCGCTTTTGATGAGTCTCAGAAAATTTTAATGTTGCGTCAGATTTACCACGAGGCTATAAAGAATCCTATTTACCAGTTAGAAGCGGTTAATTTACTCTTGCAACTGAAAATATTTTCAGCAATTATCCTTATAATAGCTGTGGAGCGAATACGAAGCTTTTGAAAGAGGGGTAAATGCGTCTCCCGCAACACCCAGCTTTTTTTTTTTTTTTGGAATCTTTTTATTTTAGGTTGGAGGCCAAATTTTGATGGAGAGAAAATTCCGAGAAGAGTTGACTGCAAGTTACATGTTAGCTCGCTCTGCACTCGTCGAACGGACGTCTCGTCTGGAGGTGTGTACTGTTCTGAGACAATTCACTGATTCACACAAATTTAAATTTTTTGCTTAGAAAATTGTTAGAAATGTTCTTTCTGTACCTGTAGCAGACTCAGCTAAAGAGCGACAGCAAGTAAAGTTATGGAAGGAATATATTGGTGTTGCACTGTTTTTTTGTTTTTTTCCTCTGCTGATTTATTTTGTTTTAGACTGGGAAAAAAAAAATTCCTTAAAACTTGATCTTAAAGATCTACAGAAGCGGGTTATCTTTACTTATAAGCAGTGCCTGCAGTGTTATTCCTTTCATTCCGATATTTGGTACGTGTTCTAATTTTCCCTCTGTAAAATTTTTTGTTTAAATTTCTTTTAGGCTGCAATACGCTTCCTTCCTAGACGGCCAGCATGACGCGTGTGCCGCCGTGTTCCAGCAGGTCCCTATACGAACACCCACCCGCTTCGCTCGGGCATTCTCGGATTACCTTGCATTGCAGGCTCTGCAGATCAACCCAACCAGCTTTCTTATTGCCTTCTCTTATGCTGAATACGAGGAGCGCCACGGAAACAACGAGCTTGCAAAGAACATATACGAGAATTTGGCTGCAAGAAACGACATTGATCCTACTCTGGTCTGTCAATTTTTTTTAGGGACAATTATTTTTTTTTATGAATATTTTATTTGAAAGGTGTACGTGCAGTTTATGAAGTTTGCAAAAAGGGTGTACGGAATGGACAAAGTCAGGGTAATTTTTTTTAGCCCTTTTCTGATTGGGGGATTCGCGAACTTTTATTCTATAGGAGATTTTTCGCGGGGCTCGTAAAGATGGTAGCCATATTAATAAAGAATTGATAGCTAATAGGGGTAAAGCAACTTTTAGGGAGATGCACTTACCACATTTGGATTGCTAATGCCAGTCTGGAGCACCACTTTGGCAAGGTTATTGGCTGGCGGCGGAGTGCCTTTCCTGCTGCCTTTCTAACGGCAAACACCACGCGACAGGCAGAGTTCGCCAATAAGGTTTTTGCATTAGGAAGGCAGAAGTGCGCTACGGATAAAGAGTTTTTGTTCAAGTATATTGACTATTTGGCGTTTTACAAATGCGTAAGTTTAGATTTTTTTTTCTCTCTTTTCAAATTTAACGATTTGGCTCACAATTAGCACAACGAAATTGAAGTTTTATACCGACAAATGCTGCGCACTTTTTCTCCAGTTCATTTGGATGAAATATGGTGTGTTTGTTTCTTAGTGCTCGATCCCTGTATTTGACGACTGCCGTGCTTTCGGATAGGTCGAGGTACATGCGTTTTGTGGTCAACCATTTTCCCTTGCAAATAATAAACCGCGTGGAAAAGGCACTTTTCTATTAGTTTCATTGCGTATAACTGCTCATTACTATTAATGGGCATTAGGACTATCTCGTTTATAAAGAAAGCAAGCAGGACTCCAGGATGGCCGTGACTATCGAACGCTACCGATATTTAGACTTGCTTCCTTGCTCCGGATTGGGTACCGCACACCAACTCATGTGACTGTTACTGTTTATTCTTATCTTATTGACAGAGTGCAAGTTTTTCGGCGTTAGTCCTGCGATGGAGGCCACTACCGCCCGAGACGGCTCCCAGAAAGCGGACGCTGCCGTCCACGACGTACATAGGCTTCTCTTTCCGACGCAACCGCCAATCTCTTTGTGAGCACTGCGGCACTATCTTAGGTATCGATGCCTGATACCCAGCAAATGATCAAGTTCAATCCGGAAGCGGAATGCACGACACCGGAGTATTTGGTGAGTTGCGCTTTGAAAAGTTATTAGTTTCCCCCTCTTTATTATGACGCCTTTTATTTACTGTTAGGCTCCCCTTTCTGTTCTCCAATTGATGAAGTTTACGTCACCACGAGGTCTATTTTTGTATGGATTAGAGTTTCCCTTTTTTTTATAATGAACAGGGCCCACGCGAGACCCTCTGGTGGACGTGGACGAACTATTGGCGGTATTGCGGAGAATCGAACTTCCTAGCATGAGTGGTGGGCGTTTTTTTTAGCTACTCTTAGTTTTTTATCAGTATCCATTAAAACTCACGAGCAGACAACAAAAAAAGAGGCCAAGATCAACTCGGATTAGACACGTCTTCTGCTTCAAACTTGTTTATGAGTAGGAGACGAAAAGTGGCCAACCTTTAACCAATGAACATAAAGTAATAAAGTTTTCAATGCTTTCTTTTTTCCTGTTTATTTATGCGAGCGCGTCATTCTTCCCCTGGTGCTGCTAACTTTTGTTGGAATAGTGCGAGCTCATCCATTAAGTTTCCAGAAACTTTTTGGAACTTCAGTTTCTTAGCAACCTTCAATTATAATGAGACACGTGTCGACTTGCCAATTATAATAGAGCATTCGCTAACCTTCTTAGGTTGAGGGTTCTTCCTCAGTTCCTCTTCTCTGCATGCAGTCTCATCGATTTTCTCAAAGACCCTTTGTTTGAACTAGTAATTAAGCAAGAAATTTAGCGCATGCAAATCAACGAGTGGTGGGTAGGAGCGGGTCCATACTTCTGATTGGACAGGTTGATCTTGTTTGAAGTCTGGCAGGTTATAATAGAGCGCTCTGAGCTCTTCTGAGCTTAACCCTGACATCCAATCATGGCAAGTTATAAGACGGTTCATTATAATACTAGTATACCGTTTAGCACAAAGGCGCGGAAGTCATTAGCATGGCGCTGTAAGATTTGCTCTTTGTTTATACTTATCAAGGCCAGTTCGGGGTTCCTCTGGAGACGCTTTCGTACGTCTGAGGAATCGCCATAAACCAAAAGTCGCAGCTTTCTTAATAAAGAGTGCACACCCTCATTAATCAATCGGTCTGGTAAAAATTCGTCCTTCAGCTTCTCCCACGCAGCGCGATTAAGGGGCATCTCTTTTTCCTAGCAGCCGGTAGACAGTCGAAGCTTATTAGCTATTATAATAGTGAAGGAAGGGCTGAAGAGTCCTGCCTCCTTTTGTTTTTTTATCCTCTTCTGCTCCTCTTGAAATTCGGGACACTTCTCCATCTCGGCAATGAGCTGCTCGTATTGGATGTTGGCCATCTAAAAGGGATTGTTGGTCTTGCAAAAAAAAAAGGAAGTTGGCGACTACTTCTCTTTCCCTTTCCGTGGCGGTCTCGCTCATAATGACTTCCAGCTCCTTTTTCATATCCCCCTGAATGTCCTCCAGACTCCGCATGGGGCCGCTTAAACCTCTGCCGCACGGACCATCAGGAAAAACAAAAAGCCCACGTGGGACGGGAAACTCACTGGTTCAAACGGGGAACGTTCATTTCGTTTAGTTTGGTGAGGATGCTGTCAAGCTTATCGAGTTTTTCCAGCTGCGTCAAGATCTTTTATGAAGGCCGTAAAAATATTTTGTTGGGTCAGTTCGAAAATACTGAAAGGGCTACAGATAAAGCAAAAACTGCACTGCACTGCGCTAAAAAAGCTGTAATAAGGGAAACCGAGTCGATGTCCTGGGGAACAACGCCCTTAGCAGGTGTGGGTGAGCTGAGCGGAATCGGCAAGGCGGGGGCAGATAGTGGCGACGGAGCGGGTATTGCTTGACTCTGGAGGATACTACATTTAAGTATGAGGGCAGAAGCAATAGCACGATAGTCACCTTTTTTAAGGAAATTTCCAGCTCGTTCACTTCTTCTCTTAATTTTCTTAGCCGAACTTCAGCAAACTTTAATAAATTTTTAAAAAAAAAGCGGCTTAAAAAAAACGTTCTGGTTATTTAAACCTTCTTATTCGCAACCGATAAACTTCTCAGTAATTCATTTTTCTTCTTAAGAAGCTGATTTTCCTCTTCATCACTAAAAACTTCTCTTTCATTATGCAAGAAATATTTTTTAAAAAAAAAAAAAAGGAAACAACAAACATACAGCCCATTTTTTATATCAAAGCTTGTTAGTTCCTGCATGACCGACAACGATGCATTTTCTCCAAAACTCAGCACTTTGGTTAATTCAAATCATATATAATAACGGAAATGGACTCGAGCATCCAATCAGTCACTTGTTTTCTTAAGAAGCAAATCCAGTTGTACGATTATCGCCTCTTTTCTAGCCAATTCCGCTTCAAGCTGGACGATGCGGGTGTCGACGTCGGTGGACGCATCGCTTTTGCTTACATGCGAGAACGAGAGTTCTCTTTGCAGGTTGTCAAGACGGCAGAGAACCGGTAGCAATGCCTCCGCAACCGCCTTATGAATAAGAATGCTTGAAAAAATTATACAAGCCTTCGACAAGCGGCTTTACTGCTTTCAGGCGGCCGTCCGTCTCGGCTAGCGGTTGAACGACTAATGATTCGACGGGCGGCAACGGGCGATGCTGGATTGTGCACGTGCGTGTGAGCAAACTGAAGCGAAGCCAAAACAGTTCATTGTGCCTCGCTTTTAAAGATGCTCGCTCCTGCCATGAAGGGACTGACCTCCCCATAAATGTTGGTTCCTTAAAAAAATGTGTTTTTCTTTAAAAAGCCCCACTGGGAAGGATGACAAATAGGATGTACCCGTTTGTTTAGAGGCGTGGTAAGTAGAGGCCACCAGACGCGCACGTTCCCTGCGCGTAAGGTTACTGCTGTTTACTCGCGGTTGTGCTATATTTATACAAAATAAATTTAAAAAAAATGACAGGCCGCCTAAATAAATTTTTAACGTCACAAAAGGTAGTGAATCCAAAAACAGAATTATAAAAACACGCATAACTACCAAAAAAAATTATTGCACAGAAAAAGTGGCGACCACAAAGTTTAGTAATAAAGGAAAACTATAAAAACTTTTTCTACCCATATCTGAAGCTTTTGGAAGAGATGCAGTTGTTTGCCCTTTTCGTTAAAAATGAGCCAAAAGCAATTCTCAAATTTAATTCTTTTTAAATTTAAATTTTCTTAAAGAACCTAATTCCCTTTCAATTTGGTCTATTTCTTTTTTAAGCGAATTTACAGAACCATCTTCTAAATAGTCGCCAGCACGAGTTTCTAAATCGAAAAGACAACTTTTTCTTTGGCTGTGCAAATAAAATAAAATAATTTATAATAAAAATAATCAATAAAGCGGAATACCCAATTTTATTTCTAATCAACTTTTCCTTTTGAAGCAAAGCGTCTGCAACAACTTCTGCATCTTCTTTTATAATATCCATTGTGAGGTCCTCTTTTTTGCCTCTAACGAAAAAAGAAATCTCAGATAAAAAACTAAAAGGGGTATTTAGAGAGCAGTAAGAGTTAAAAGATTTCAAATTCAGCATGATTGACTGCTAACCTTTTAAGATAATAATCAAAAGTCCCTGAAAGCTGGACTTCCCCTGCAGTTACTATCGCTCGGCTGCTGTCTAGCGCACCTGAAGGCTCTGATTTCCACAGTAAACAATTAATAATTTCTTATACAAAGTTTTAAAAAGAGTACCATTCGGCTGCTTGAAAGCGCGGATCCAAAAAGGCTCCCCGTCCAACTCTAAAACCTAAAAAAATAAAGAGTTTTTTTAAAATTTCAAAAGCACTCCGCAAAATAAAAGCTCAATTCAAATTCTCTACTTTGAGTGGATGCAAGCATTCTCCAAGCAGATACTCGAGCTCTTCAGCTCCCGCAGAATCTCCGCCACTTACAAGAATGCCGAGGACTTTAATCTGGGCGTAGACGAGATCAATATGGGCGCATGAACTGCAGTGATGAGAAATCGCTGCATTGAAATTCTAAAGGAGAAGAAAAACAAGACATACAACGTGAAGTTTTCCAGATAAACCGCATTAAGCTCAGACTTTTTCTTTGTGAACTTAGTTTCTCCTGGAATTCCCGAAGTAATCAGTTGAATCTGTTTACAAAAAATTAATCGAACTACTCTATTATATAAAATAAGCAATAGAAATGAATTTTCTAACAAAGAAGGCTTACTGAAACGTAGATGTCTTTCAAGTCACAATCCCTCGGAGAGCAAAATTTTCTTAAAGAACCAACTTAAAATAGTTAATTAAACGACAACTAATTAATATAACTATTAGATTACTGGTTAGTTGTAGTTCACCACGATTTTCCTCAAATCTTACATACAAAAAAAAAAATTACTTCCAAAGAAAGCTTTTATAAGTGAAAAACACATTGCAAATATATATTTGGCCCATGAAGAAATTTTAACTAAGCTCATATGAATTTTCATACATTGAGTGTCTGTTAGTTGGGAGAGGCGAAATTCCATATTTTTTTGTTCTGGGAACAACTGAGTGCCCTTTCATTAGAAGTCAGTATAGGTATACCTGGTAAACCGTAATATATAGAGTATAATATAATTAAGATTTAAAAATATGAATTAAAACAATATTAATAAACCTAGTTAATAAATGTTGGCGGAGAAAATAGTTAAAAACTGAAAATGAAGTAGTGATGGGGTAATAAAAGCTATTAAAAAGATTCATATAAAAGTTGTTGTATAACATGAGCTTACAGTTGTTTTAAAATAAATAGTCATAAGCATTATTTTCATTGCAAAAATAAGAGAGGTTGCTTGTCTCGCTTTCTTCTATAGCTTCAACTAAAAGGGTTAAGGGGTTTTCAAGCCCACCTTCATGCCCGTAAAGAATAAACCACTTTCGCACCGAACAGTGAAAAGTAAAATAAAAAAAATTAATTTAGTAATAGCTATGCGGTATATACAAATATATATCTCTCTCTCAAAAAAATTAAGTTAATATGATAGATAAGCAAGTTAGTAGTAAATTCACCGGAAAAAATGTGTATCTATACTGCACAGCTACCTCGTCCTCGATTTATGGTAATAACGTTAATAAACAATAAACCTATCATACACTAACATCTCTACTTCTGTTTTACATACTATACTAAGAAAAAACTCTAAATATACTGGGAACTTAGGCTTTTGCCTTATAAAATATTACTTTTACACAACACCAGGTTATGTTTTATCTACAAGATATAAAACTAAGAAAATACGCCGTCCTATAAATATTGCTTTTTATGGGCTTAGAAAATCAAAACTTCTTTGAAACGAAAATTTAAATTGTAGATTTAAAAAGTATGGCTATAAATTAAGCAAAATTAATAAGTATGTATACTAAAAAAAAGATGGCGGAGTTAAGATGTAAGTGATTTTACATTTCTGGGTGACTTACAAGAAACTTAAAAATTTTTTAAAGCAAAAATTAAATATATAATGTTAGAAATAAACAATTCTCTGTAATTTCAAAAACAGAATTTAAATGCCTTACATACACATATGATATAACGTACATTACTGATACAATAAGTCTACACTAAAGTCTCATGATTCGAAGAGTGAAAAAAGGATCCATGAGATATATAGCATACGATACGTGGCTAAATATAACATGTATTGATCCCTAGTAGATACTATCTAAAGTAGTGACACAAAAAGTTTAGTAAAATTACTCAAACAAAGCTCAGTTCTTAGAGTCTTCGAGAACTGCCAGGTGAAATACTCTGCGCCATGTGGTGTTTTCACACTTGCATTTCCTAACGTGTGAACCAATGATTGGGGCAGGTAACTACTATAACTTCTGACGATATTTTGTAAAAATTATATAACCTATTAAAGGGCCTGAAGACAAGACACCATTTGCTTTTGGTTATCGACGGGGCGTTATAAGAAAACAGTATCGACTGGCCTATTTATATATCTAAACAATTTTGTCCTTCCCTTACTGTGGACTTGGTTTTTGGTTAGAAAACTTAAAGATATTCAACTAGGGTGGCTGGCTCAATGTTATTATCAATGCTTTTCTCGAGCTCATGTATGACTTTCTACGACTTCCGAATACTGACTCGTCTTTTTGCAAATGATGTGGCAATATTTTTACATTTTAAAAGTCATAAATTGGATCAGTTTATAATAACAGAAAACAATATTTAAGAACTTAATACTATGCCTAAAACCAGGGCCATAATTGATAAGTATAAAATGCAAGCCACCGAACAAAGGGTGCTTTTAGACATCGAAATATCCTAGTGTTCTTAAGCTAAGTAGTTTAGGGCAGTAATAAATTTTAAACTAAGATGAGAAAAATGTACTAACTATATTTATTTAAAAGGGAAACGAGCTTTTAATAATTATATTCATGCCTACACAGAAAAAACCTTTTTATTTTAAATAAAGTCTATTTCGTAAGAGTTTAAATGCTTAACTTAGGTCACTTTCTTTGGGTTATCATGATGTAAAACAATTTGTATGTTTACAAATAATTTTATAGTTTAGTCAGAGACCTACCTACCTCCTAATCTGCAGCTTCTCACGATAAATGAAATCCAGAAAAAAAAATTTATTTAAATTAAATACACATTAGATTTCTTTAGATTCAAGCGCGGTAAGTTACTACAAATTATAGGAATTATCTTAATCTTTGGCATCTGCTATCGAACCAAGTCTCATGAAGCCCTCATTGTAGAGTATTGAATTTTTAAACGAATGTACGTGCATTCAATGGGAAGAAGCAAATAATAAGTTACTCTGCTTCCGTACCTGTATTCTTTGCACCCTTTACTATTCTTATTTTTTTTATGTTTTCTTATATTATTTCTCTTTGTAATACTTTTATACTATAGTAAAAACCGCTTAAAACTACTTCCTAAAAAGGTTACAATGGCACGAGCTCCGGATACTATTCTGCGTATATAAAGTATTAGAATAAACTTTTAAGGCAAACCCCTAATATTACTACAATAATTCCTTTTATTAATATAACTTTATGTTTTAACATATATTGATGAAATTAATATTTACGTCTGTACCTAAATTTTTCTTATTTCGGTCTTTTAGACTGCAATTCCCATTTAAGGATGAAATGCAATTTATGTGGATGCTCTCAATAACAACCACAACTCCAAAAGAGGACACCCCCACAGTTGGGTGCAGTAAATTCGTTTTAAAGGTACACCATATTGACAAACAGACATGGGAGAGGTTAGTGGTAGGTTAAGCCATTTGTCACTTTTCTTCGACCTGGCATAGATAAACGACACGCATCTAAATACAGTAATGTTTCAAAAACTTAGACGTGAGTTTTATCATAGCAAAACTGTACAAATAATAAATATTTTCCATATTTTATTACCTTGCGAATATTATCATAAGAAACCTTTAACTTTTCCTCTAAAAAGTTTCGAGCGTTACAGCACAACAACCAAACCAGTCATTTTTCCTAAAGGTCATTGTTTAAATATATTGTTTCTAGTTAACTTTTATCTTTCAGGTTTAATTTCTTAATAAACCAAGGTGGTAAATGGGTTGTACCTAATGGAATGAACACTGGTATTACTCTATATAATTCCTTAACAAGGTCTCAAGTCCCTTTATATATTCCATTAAATAATACTTGTCATTGGTGAGTAGTTATTTATTTTTAGAAGTCAATAACTATATATTATAAAATTTAAGGTATATGTGTGGGCCAACTGTATATAATATATCACATATCGGTCATGCGTGTACCTACTTAAGATGGGACATTTTAAGAAGAATACTTACTGACTACTTTAAAATTAACGTAGTTTCTGCATTGGGTGAGCAGCACACCTTTAAATTATTTATTATGGTTGCACCTATTTTACGTTTAGCTTTCATGGTTTAGGCATAACTGATATTGACGACAAGATAATTAGCGTCGCGGAAAAGCTAAACTGCAGTGCTCTTTCTATTGCAAGGAAATACGAGAATTTATTTTTTAAAGATATGACTTCTTTCAATGTAAGTCAATTATATAATTAATAGTATAATTTTTGAGCTCTACTTTATTATAAAAAGCTTTTGTTACCTTATTAATAACAGATATTGGAGCCCTTTTCTATCTTGCGTGTATCGGAGCATATCGATGATATTATACGTTTTATTGAGAAACTAATTCTCAGCGGGTATAGTTTTCCGGCTCTGCCTTGTATTAAGCATTAGTTCATCTGTAAAATATAAGCAAGGCTTATCAACTCGAAGGAAGTGTCTACTTTGACACCGAAGTCCACGGTGGAAGGTACGGGAAGTTGTTCCCCGAAGCCCTTCTCTCCGAATATCCACCAGGAAAAAAAAGTGTCTTTTTTTTGTTACCACATTAGGATTGGTTAAGTGAATTTTGCTGTATAATAATACTTTTTAGATCTTAAAAAAAACGAAAGAGACTTTGCACTATGGAAAAGCGGTAACGCTCGAGAGCTTAAGATTGAAGGTTTTCTTTTTATGCTTTGTTTAAATTTTTTAAAATTTTTTCGAAGGTGCGCTATGGGATAGCCCTTGGGGCAAAGGACGGCCGGGTTGGCACGTGGAGTGCTCGGCCATGGCCAGGTCCGTTGGTATTAAAGCAGTCCTGCACGGCTTCCTTGACTTTTTCTTTAGTTCGCTATTCGGCAAACACTTAGACATCCACTCTGGGGGAAGGGATCTTCTTTATCCTCACCACGAAAACGAGTTGGCCCAATCGGAGGCATTTCATGCCGTTGATCAATGGGCTAATTACTGGCTCCATTTTGGTGTTGGACTCGATTTAATTGGCTTATCTTTGAATTTTTATAATAATATATTTTGAAGGGCTTGTAAATTTGCACAATGAAAAGATGTCGAAGTCTTCTAATTGCTTTGTATCTGTTCAAGAGTTTCTTAAAAGTTATTTTCCTGACCATTTGCGAATGCTTTGTTTGTTGTTTAAGTAAGGCTTTCCAGCTATGACAAATTTTTCAAGTCATAATCTTTATTTTTTCCTCTACTAATCTAGTGCAAACCTTTTTTTATCAGATATAATTCAGTAATAAATTACTCTGACGATGCCTTGAAAGAAGCAATAGTATTAGTAGAGAGGCTCCAGGCTTTTCTATGCAGGGCTCAAAATGTTTCACACCGGCTCGGTATTGCTTATATATATTCTCTTACGAACCATTTAGTATTAATTTTTGTAGCGAGCATCAACTTGGCGTGCGGTACGGTCCGCTTTTCCCCACGCGACTTAAAGTTTAAAGAAACGTAATTAAATAGTTCCATAGCACGGATCTTTCTAAATTAATTCCCCAGCCTTATGCAAACTAAATCGTTAGTCCATGATTATCTTAAAAGTGACTTCGATACTCCAAAAGCTGTGCGCCAGGTGATTTTTTTTTGAAGTTTTTCTTTATATACTTAAACTCTGAGCAGGTGTTTAAATTAATAAACGCTGCAAATAATTATTTGCAAGAAGGTCCCAATTCTACAGATTTTAGAATTTCAATTGCTGCAGCACCCGTCCGGCCTGCTGTGAATAGCCTCGTTATAAGCGAGTGTTTTCGCTACGTTATCTCATTTTTCAGTATGCTGGGATTGCGGACTTTACGCTCTGCTTTTTTTAGCGAGCAGAGTGAATTAGAAAAACAATTTCTCTCTTTTCGAAGCGTGGTGAGGTCGATCTCTCTCGCGGCCCTCAAGGTTTCGTAGTAGTTATGGTCAGTGTTTTTAGCTTTTTTTATATTTTGCTTAAGAAAAGAGATCTGGAAAATGGTGGTTATAAAGATTTATTAAAAGAATGTGATCGTCTGCGGGATGAAGTTTTTTCCAAACTTGGAATTTTTGTGGAGGTTTTCGCATCATTATTTTACTGCTATAAAACTCTGCAAAGCTTTATTTAGGATCCTTCTGTAAAAGTGTTGAACAACTGTTTTAGCGATCACTTGAAAGAATCTTGAACCATTTTATTATTTGGCTTTTAAGTTGTTTTAATAATATATACTTTATTTACTTATCATAAGAATAAATATGTGTAAATCTCTTGCATAAATATTGCATTGATAACAGTAGTGACAGTTACCACTGGCGTATTATAAGTGACGACTTTATTAGAGCCGGATAGCCTGTAGCCCTTGTAAGTCCCAACGCAGTTAACCTGCTCTACTTACTAAAAGTACTGCATCATTAGAACTACAAATATTGGATTTTAAAGTATTATGATTTGTGGGAAATAAGTTGGTATTCACTAGATTTTTAATTATTTAATGGCAATAATTCTTTATTATTCTACCTTATTAGACTTTCCAGGAAGCTCATTAACTTCTGTTATAATTCTCTGCGTGTTAAAACTTTATTATTGAAAAGTCATTATTTCGTCTTCCAATGGTTATGTTAAGATTTTTTCTATGTATCTAGTTTAAAATTACAGTGTTTTTTTTAAATGGAAGTAAGCATTTAGTTACTATACCTCTTAACTTGACTAACCAAGCTTGAGAAGTCTCTTTTTAAGAATTTAGGGAGGAAACTTTTTTAATTGCCAAGGTTACAAGAGCAACTTGTTTAATTATATTAAGAAGACAAAGTAGTTTTTTTAAGAAAAAGTCCAGTCTCTTTTGAATCTTTGTCTTGTAGGTGCTGTTGCAGAATAGTCCAATAAACTTGCTACCTCTATATTAATTTTTTTGTTATAAGCGCTATAGTAATTTTAAGAGACTACGCTAGTAGGGCCTTAACTATATGAAAAATCACTTGTGCAGAATATTAATTTAATTTATTAAAGAGTAGTTAAACCTTAACCTTTTTAGTGGATACTACGCAGAAGATTTATTGTTAAAACTGCGTTACTATAACTGTCGTAGCAATGATTAGTAAAGAGTAGTTAAACCTTAACTTTTTTAGTGGATACAATGCAGATTTATTGTTAAAACTGCGTTACTATAACTATTGTAGCAATGATTAGTCCATATTGTCTCTCATATTACTATTATTTAATATATTGTTATTATAACTAATTCTTCAATATTATTGTCGAATTTTTCTTAAAAAGCATGTATTTGGAGTTATTATCTCACGTAAAAAGATGTTTAGATCGTCTAAATCTAGAAAACAGAGTATTTTAGTTTATGGACATAGCTAATAGCCCATAGTACTATTCTTCGATTGCTTCAATAGAGTTTCCGGCTAAGCGCTTAGCATTTATGTAGTCCAAGCTTTGCCTTCACGATGCTATTAAGAAAGTCGCAAGTGCCGAGGAGCATTTGTAAACACTCTTAAAAAGTTGTCTTACATAAGTTTGCTTAAATTTATCATCTAAAGACTAGTTCTTACTTGTTTTCGGCTTAATTATCACTGAACATAAGGGGCTGTTTAGCGAGTTGGTTCACATTTAAAAATCTTCCACAAGCAGTTGCTTTTCTTGGTGTACCAGTTATGGGAACGTTGTCTTAATGGACGCATTCATGCTGAATTTCGCAATAAGAGCAAAAAATTCTTGGTTGATGTAACGCCTAATCCTCAAATTAGAACCAATTTACCTATACACTATATTTAATTAATTTTTTTTGTTTAATTCTAAATTTCGAACTATTATCCAACTTCAAAACTTTAAAATAGCTAAATATTTATGGTGTATCGATGAATTTACTTTGAGTTTACTTCAGACTAGACGTTTGTAATTTACGCCCCTAATGCGGTTACATACCCTAAAAAGACGGTTTGCGCAGACACCTCGAGTAGAAAACCCTTACAACCTATGCGCAAAGGCAATATAAAATTTTAACATTGCTGTTCCTTAATGGGGTTTTGAGGTAAGTAGTGAAAAGTTATTAACCAAAAGAACAATTCAAATAATATATAATTATCCTTAAATTAAAAAAAAGAAAAGGGCGGATATGAGGCATCAACTCTTTATAACTTTTAAAAACAAATAACTGCCGTAATAAGTCTGCTTATAAACTTATAATATTACATTTCGATCAATGAAACGCTTTATTCTAACAAAATGTTTAACTGAACGGAAGATGATTTAAAAGGGATACTTAAAAAACTGTGCTAGAGGAATGTAAGTCTTGCGTTGAAGGTACTCCTGATACAACTTGATCTTGGGTTAAATTTAATGATCGAAGGGTTACAGAGCATAATTTTGACCTGTGCTCCTAATTAAAAAATTTAATTTATGAATGTATAAACATATAACAAATGGCTACATATACAGAGGGACCAGAAAGGGACAGCTGGGTATAGAGTTAAGTGAGAGCAAACTTAGTTAAATTACAGCGTGAGTATAACTATTGCTATAAGTGTTACATTACTAAAATAAATAGTTACAATTTGTTAATCGGTGTGGATAATAACTACAATTTAGCAATCCTAAAATTGAAAAATTAACTGGTGGTGGAAAGTGGTTTAAAGCCTTTAAAAAGAGTACGCTCCTTTGTGGCTCAGGAAATGAAGCATTTATTCAAGTTGAGTTAGCTTAGAGTACTTCTATACCCTTCTTTTTAAAGCCAGCGTCTTGCACTATTATCAACGTCTTAAAATTCTCTATTATTGATGATTGGAAAATTAGTCTTTGTCTTTAAGGGTCTGTAAGAGTTTAATCCTTATAGTACTTTTTTTTATTTATCAAAGTATGTAGTGCCTTCATTATTGCCCTGCTGTCGATTTTTAGGCGTAGCTAATGCATATAATCTTGCCGCAAAAAATGTATTTATTTTTATTAAATTTGTTAATTTTCAATCTTTTGGTATCTTACTACTTAATTTCATATAAAAGAATAGAAGATTCATCGATTATAAAAGAATTGTTGTCCGTTCAGGGAAGGGCGGCGATGGGAGGTGCAGTTTCGCTTCTATTAAGTACAAAGAATTTGCCGGCCCTGACGGAGGTTTCCCTATATTATGTAGTAAACCGTTTTGAAGCTGTTACAAACTTTGCTGATACAAACTAACTATTATATTTATAAAAACATATTTTAAAATTAGATTTTACGCTTGAACTATTATTAACTAATAGTTATGAAATTGACTTTTTTTATGTTTAAATTAAGTTTGCTAACTAATTGCGTATTTTTCTACTAGGCGACGGGGGAAAAGGAGGGGATGTTATACTCAGGTGTGAAAGTCACCACCACGACTTAAGTCACTTGAAAACTTTGAACTTTGCAGAGGCGGGGGCTCCAGGGGGCTCCAGTTTTCGTTAGTTAGAAATATAGGACTTTTTATAAAACTATTGACTTTTATTTTATTTCTACAACAGGAAAGGGGGCGGCTGGAAAAAGCGTTGTGATTCCTCTTCCTATAGGCACCCTTCTTATGAACGAAAACTCTGTAAAGCATAAAGTTGATCCGCTGTCTACATTTTAGAGTAACTGTAATGTTTATATACAGGAAATCCTCTTCGATTTTACTGAGGCAGGTCAAGAGTACTGCGGAGCCCTCGGAGGACTGGGAGGTTTTGGTACAGCCAATTATGATCTGTCAATCGGGTTAAAAGAATTGCGTCCCCTGAGCTATCAACTACCAATAGGAAACACTTGTTTTAAATCAGCAACGAATCAGGCACCTCGTTCAATTACCCTGGGGCAGCCGGGTACAGCTCTGCGCTTTCTCCACTGACCTATTATAATGTTTTGCTATAAAAGCCGTAGAACACGTGTATTTTCTGGAGCTGAAGAGTTTGGCCGATGTGGGACTGGTTGGTTTTCCTAACGCCGGTTCTCTACTTTCTTTTTTTTTAATGCGCACGGTTATTATTTATGAATAAAAAAAGGAAAGTCGTCGTTACTAACAGCTGTTTCCTGCGCGCACCCGAAAATCGCGCCGTATCCCTTCACAACGTTGAATCCGCATATCGGCGTAATCGACTATTCTGATCATTACAGAATTTTAAGTAATAAATATATAACTAAATTTAACACATGGATTTTTTATGATTCACAGTGGCGGATATTCCCGGTCTTATTAGGGGCGCTCACGAGGATGTCGGCCTCGGACATAAGTTTTTGAGGCATATCGAACGCTGCAAGATGATTGTTTATATAATCGATGCTGCAGGTTTCACCAGATATATAACTTGGGTTGTTCCATGGCTTTGTTACTGCGTCCAGGAGTCGACTGCAGGAATCCTGCTGACGATCTCAAGGATCTTCAGGTATTTTTCTTTCTGGTAGTGATGATATTTACAATTAATATAATGAACGGAGAAGACAGAATTAAGATTATTTAAGCCCGAAATGTTGGAAAAGCCTTCTCTTGTAATCGCTAACAAAATGGACTTGGCATCTACAAAAAACCTAGAAAGCATAAAGAGCTCTACATCCCTCGACGTGATTGGTAGATAATATTGTTGAAGTCTCCCTCAACTCCTGTTAGTGCTTTAACTCTACAGGTGCATCAGCTAAATGTGCTTGTCAAATAAAGCGAAGCACCATGAATGCTCCCCAAAAAAGTTATCAGAGCTTTGCTGGATACGAGATAAGTCACGTGACAAACGCTATTAGAATGACTTTGGAAAAAAAGTGCAACTACACCCTTAACAGGCAGCTTCGGGCCAATCGAAATATGACCTCTTTTGATATTGATTACACCAAATTCTAGTAGAAGGGCCGCGGTCGGGGCCACCTCCAGCCCTTTCTTCGCCTATTCTGAATAACTTTCTTGCGTATACAAAATACAATCTGCATTTTTTAATAAACTAAATACAATCATAAATGTATTAATAATATTATAAACTTTTTTTACTTTAGCTAAAAGTTTTTACAACGGACCAAACTGTTTTTCAACAAGAGCCGCTGTATGTTCCGGAGAGGTGACCGCGTGTCCAATGGTCTTCTTGCTGCAAAAGAGCTCGTGGTCGTTTCCTCCCTGTTCCTCCCTTGAAACGTAAAAAGTTTTATTTAAAAAAAAACTGTAGACTAGCACCTCCTCCGATTTGTCTCCATAAAAATGGATGAAGCGAAAGTCGTGCTTCTGGAGATGCCTTAGACAGAAGGTCTTATCCCAGCCAACAGGAAAGCAGTCAAAGCTAATCTGTCCTCCAATAGAAAACTGCATATCCTATAATTTTTTTATTTAAGATTTTGAAATAAAAAAAAACTTTATGCAGCGCACCATCTCCGGAAATTTGTGTTGTAAGTCGGTAATCATGGTTTCGCGGATGCGATGAACCTACTTGGATAATTATTAAGTAAAAAAATTAAGATCTGATAATAGTTTTTATTAAAACCTTATCATATTCGTGAAATTCAAGTCTTTCCTTGTAAGAACAGTTACGACCGATTGGGCTAATGTTGATCATCCCGTTGCGAAACTCAATAAAAGTACCGCTATAATTAGAATTGGTTTTTCAAAGTGAGGCAGATACATACGTACTAAATGTTTAAATTACTTACTGAAAGTTATCTAAGCAAGCACTATTATAATTAAGTAATTCAAATACAATAAGAATATTTTAAAAAAAATATATTTATAAGTATATAATAATACTACAAAGACACAAATATATTGCTTATAATAATCACTGTATTTACCAAAAACTTTTTAATAATAAAAATAAAAAGCTAACTTAACTTTTAAAAGAAAATGAG